TAGGTCCCTGCTACCCATGTGAAAGACCTGGAATTAGTCTCTGCCTTCTGGCCACAGTTTTGCCAGTGCTAGGGAACACAGAGTGTAGCTGTCTGTGGAGTAATCCAGTGAATCTGAGTCCTTTCATGAATTTTTTTAAAAATTCAAGTTAATGGAACGGTAACTGCCAACTGCCAGGAAGGGATGGATTAATTTTTGTTGTCACCCCCCACCACCTTCTCCTAAATATTCATTGCAAAGGTAGTTAAGAGACAGAAACAAAGATCTTCTACCCTCTGGTTCACTCTCCAACTGACAATGATGGCCAGGGTTTGACCAGCAAAAGCCAGGAACCAAGATTTTCTTCTAGGTCTTCCACATATTTTGGAGCAATTTTAGGTTACAGAAAACTGCAATGATAGGACACAGTTTTCATAAACCTTTCATGCCTGTTACTAATGGAGCACATGGTACATTTGTCCACATTCTGAGATTTCCTTTGTTTCATTCAATGTTCTCTAAATGCCTCCTTAGGCTCCCTTTGGCTCTCACACTTGGCTTGTTTCTGATAACTAACACTTTTGACAAGTACTAACCGAATTCTGTAGACAGTTCCTGGTTGGAATCTCTCATGTTTTCCTTGCAAATTCACAGGGGCTTTGAGTTGTGGGAGGACCAAACAAGGTAGCATCCTTGCATCACATCATACAAGAGCACAGATCATCAACACAGTTTATCCCTACACGCCTTATCTCTGGTCACCTGGTTGAGGTAGCGGCTGCCAGGCTTCTCCACAGTGAAGTTGTAATTCAGCCCTGCCTCACCCCATTTTTATACTACACTCTGGAAGTAAGTCATTTTGCAAGAAATAATACTCCCCAAGCACAGTGTATTGACATAAATTATTTGTAATTATTATACAGTGGAGATTTAGGGTAGATTAAGTTTTTAAAGACCTATAGCTTGCTATCTTAATTAAAAATTAGCATGGTAGGCACTGTGGCAAAGCCAGTTAAACCACTTCCTGCAATCAGTTTAAGACCAAGATACTCTACTTCCAATCCAGTTCTTTGCTAATGTGCCTGGGAAAGCAGCAGAAGATGGCCCAAGTATTTGGGCTTCTGCCACCCACATGGGAGACTTAAACAGAAATCCAGGCCCTGGATTCAGCCTAGCCCAACCCCAACCGTTAAGACCATTTGGGGGAATGAACCAGCTTTTGTGACTCTGCCTTTAAATAATCAATGAATCCTTAAAATGTATACATGTATCTTTGGAAAATAATCTGTAATTTATTGCGGGTCACTCCAACTAGGCTGCAGCTCCTGCTGGTTTATGTGAGGGCCGAGTATGTGCTGGGCAGAACCAGGCTGGACTGCAACACCAATTGGTTCCAGTAGAAGGCGGGGCTGAAAACAGAACCAACCCAGCAATTGCAACCACCAGCTGATCGGGGCGATGGACTGTGCCAGGCCCTGTGCCTGCTAGTACATACAAGAATCTGGTCTGAGAACACCTCAGACAAAGTTTCTTTGGAGATCTCTCCAATCGAAATGCTGGACCCAGAACCCAAACCAAGAAAAGAGAGAAGACAGAACAGGTCAACCAACCAACTCAGCTATATGTTGGCAGCGAAATACGGGGTAAATGGAGACTCTATGAGGGACTGCGTCAATCAGTGGATTCTTCAAGGACCTCATAGTGCTTGGAGTGGCAAGATTGGCAGCGATTCATAACTGATGAAATATCAAAATCACTTGAGCAAGAACCTCGGAGCATACCCTACATCCGGGACCTGGGGAAATAGGTTGGGCCTTCTCCCTTAATACCCCTCTTTAATAAATAATAAAAAAAGAAAAAAAAAACTTGTCAACCCCTCAAAATAAATAAATAAATAAATAAGATAGCTAAGCCAGCACCATGGCTCAACTGGCTCCTCCATCTCCAAGTGCTAGGACCTCATGTGGGCCCCGGTTCGTGTTCCACTTCCAATCCAACTCCCTGCTTATGACCTGGAAAAGCAGCAGAGCACGGCCCAAAGCCCTGGGAACCTGTACCTGCATGAAAATCTGCAAGAAGCTCTGGCTTTGGATTGGCTCAGCTCCAGGCTGTTATGGTCATTTGGGAGAGTGAATCAGCAGATGGAAGATCTTTCTGTCTTTCCTTCTTCCTGTAAATCTGCCTTTCCAATAAAAATAAATAAATCTTTAAAAGAAAAGAAAAAAAAAAATCAAGGTAGAGAGCCTGGCCATTGCTGGGCTTAGCCAGGAGGGAGCTAATGGAGAATTAAACAGAACTGTCTGTCCCCTCACCCTCCCGTGAACGACAACAATCTCCTCCCTTTCCTTGGGACACGCAATCTTAGGAACACAAATGGGAAGCACAAAGGCGAGCTGCACACTGTGTGGCTGCACTGTGCTTAATTCAGAGGCAAGTTACCATGCTGTGGCATGAAGTCCCACAAAGCAAGCAGTGTAAAGGAAAGGGTGATACTAGCTCAGTAAATTAATAATTTTATTAAGCCAGTATAATCTCAACTGTGGAGTATAATAAGGGATGTGGTGACTCTCCCCTAATGCTCAAATACTCTTCTTTACTTTTCAATCCAGTTGTCTTCCAAAAGGTTAAGGACATGGATGCTTGAAAGGTAAGGTCTTACTACCAGTTAAGCAGGCATTTGTGAATACTGCCAAACAGTATTAGGTTCTGGAACAACTAATAGTGGTGTCTAGTATAATCCCTGGCACATGGTACTACTCAAACGTTTGCTGAATGATGAACAAATGAATTCTAAGAAGCAGAGGGGACAAGCAGCTGTCCACACTGGTATGCACAACTCAAATGGCACTGACTCAATCGTTAAGGCCTGCTGTGCTTCAGAATTTTTCTTCAGAGACAGCAATATTTTTCCCAATAAATCACAGGAGCTACATTGTAGAGGCCTTAATTATTAGTATTATTTAATGCTTAAAAACTAGAACACTAGTCATTCAATAAATGTTTACTGAATTAATAAACAATCTCTACAAATGGTAAAGCAAGTTAGCCATTAAGGACATTATCAGGAAAGTTAATAAACAGCAGGGGAGGTTTTCTGGGGTAAAATTTATGAAGGTTATACACAAGGTGAACACATTTTGCTTAAAATATATACATATGCTTTGCAGAACCAGCATAAAGGGCTCATTGTTCTGTTGAATGGAAGGAGTGAACCGAGACAGTCATCCTTGTGAATGCTCTAAGGCCAAGGTGGCACCGTATTCTGCCTGTGTTATCTGGTGGGCCCCACAGAAACAATTCCCAGGCACACCTCATTACGACCATCAGAGCGGTAGCATGGCATGGACTACATGAGCTCAAATTGTGGGCCTAGTCAGAATGTCTACTGACTTGAGCAGATTACTTAAGTTCTACTCCTCAGTCTCCCTATTTGTAACATGTAAGAAGAGACAAAAATCTTTCCTCAAATGGGCGTAAATGAAAATTAAGTGAAATAATATTTATAAAGGACTTAGAAGAGTGCATGGCACATAATATAGTACATGAGTTTTTACTAAAAACCACAAGAAAACAAAAACAAAACAACTTCACTGTCAAATGGTTAACAAAAGGATAATTTAGAAACTTGAAATTTTTCAAACACAATCTGAGATGTCATTTTCTCAAAATGTGTGTACATTTTTTTCAATCTAGGAAACATGGTTTTCAAAAACAGTCAGAGCACTCCTAATATCATTGTTTTAAACTAATCATCCAAAATAACTAAACTGAACACTAAAGAAAAAAAGCAATGTCGAAAAAATGAGCAAATGAGCTCAGAAAACCGAGAATGGCTTTTCCCTGTTTATTCATCAATACTTGAGAGAGTATCTCTGAATTAAGACCAAAGTATAAACGGTTTCTCTCAAGAATTTTGTTGGTGACACCTTATACTTCCCCCCCTCCCAAAATTATACTGCCACAGATTTTTTGATATTTTAGCATCCTTTTGTCTATGGTTGAAAAACAAATTGCATAGTTATAAAAAATAAATCAACAGTTATAAAAAGGTTAATGACCACTCTGCGGCAGAGTGCAATGACCACTCTGAAATGCCCCTTCAGAAAGTCACAAAGCCATAGCAACACTGAAGGATGACAATCAATCTTTTCATATTTGAACATAAAATAGAACTCATAATAAAATGTATTTAATACTTTTACACATTATACTTAATTTCAGCAGAAAATGATTACTTAAAAACATTCTGGACCCCATTTTTCACCTATACACTACAAAGAATTAACTAAAATTGACAATGAATTAAAAGTTTTATGTAGCATTTACAATATTTTCATTTACCCTCTACTGTCTTAGTCATCACTTTCCACCATCAATATAATATATAGGTTCTCCTTGCTATTTCTATATATTTTCCATTCAAATACCACTCAGTAAATTCAAAATGCACAACAATAACCCACTCTAAATGCACCCTACACAACCCCTCAGGTTTACAGCTATGTTAAATATCACATTCAAAAGCACTTTTTATCAACCAAAAAATCAGGCTCTGAAATATTTTTTGGCAGCAGGAGGGTTTTCACTTGTTCCGTATCTATCTAAAGATCATCTTGCTACTAGCCAGGCTACTTTTCTCTTTCTTCTTTCTCCACAGTGCTTCTAAGTATAGTGACAGCCACATCAGGCTTTCCTCAGCTCAGCACAAGCCCAGTGAAAATCTGGGAAATGTAAGTGGAAACATGAGAGACTGCTTTATTTGGCAGTCCTTAAAAAAAAAAAAAAAAGGTGTGGGGGGTGGGGCAGGACAAATGGCAAATCGGTGCTTGGACTGCAGGATGAACAATCAATAGGCAGAAAGCAAGATAGAGGCTTCCTCAGCTTTTAGATCGACAATCGACAGCTGAGAGACTATTTTTTGCTATGGTTGACTAAATATGGTCAGGGAAGGCAGAGGCAGAAGAGAGCCTGTTTGCCTGGGAGTGCATGTTTCAAATGCTCAGCTGCCTATAAAGCTGTAGCAGTTTAGCCGGTGGTCACTCAGGAAGAATATAAGTTGGCCTCTGTAGTGATCATGTGGAAGTCCTGACCTCTGGATATGACAAGGTAGCTTCACTACAGTTCTACCATTTAATCCTGGAAACTAAAAAGCAAAGAAAAACAAAACACCCTCAGAGCAAGAAAGATGCAGACTATTTCCTGAGAAGTGAGAAGAACCAAATGTATTCTGGTGGGCAAATGAAAACAAGGAGAAGCTAATTTCCAGTTACTTAAGGGGTAAGGGTGGGGGGGGTGTGCTTTTTTTTTTTTAAGATTATAAATTAACTTCCTCTGTATCTGACCCTCCTTCCCCTCCACCCCCTCCCAAGCATTTCATCTGACAAATAAGTTAGATTTATTTTCTCAGTCGTGGCAGAAACCTTTCCTGGATGCCGAACTTTCTACATTTCTGTGCAACACTGGTATATGACATTCCATATCAAATGGCCTACCCCAATTCAACTGTACTGTAGTTGTTTTCTGTTTTTTGAGGGAAAGGGGAAAACCAAGCTTCCTTTTGGCTGCTTGTTTGTTTTTCAAATTTATCTTACAAGGTGAGGCTCTTTGCTCACTGATACACCCCCTTACTTCAGCCTGCTCATGAAAAGAAGTGCTGAATCAGCAAATGGAGTGAGGAGCGAGATGAGATGGCTGCTGCTGCTGCTGCTGCTGTGACTGGCTAGGTCACTGCCTCCTTTCCTGCTGCAAACGCCGCCTGGCTCCAGGCTTACAGGTAACGACACTCCTTGGCCAGTACTTTTCAGGATGCTATGACTTTCTGCATGCTTATCTATTGTTGACTAAGATACATGTTCTTATCGTTAAATTCTATCCCGGCATAGCCTCATTTCACAGTTCCAGTTGAGAGCTTAGGCAGTGTAAAAAGAAATGTTCAAACATTGAGGCAGACGGTGATCTCAAAAATGTGCAAATCCATTACTATCATTTACATTATTAAAGATATAGTCTCTACTGTTTCAGATTAAATGATGGTTTTGCAGTATGGGTAAATCACGTCTTGCCTCCAAAGTAGGCTATCTTTTAAAAATGATTCACTGTATTGCAAGGTTTAGCCAACCAAAAATGCTAGCAGATCATTTTTCATGCTTATAATTAGTGGCAAATATATGAAGAATATGCATAGTTTACTTCTAATGCTGCATTGCTGAAACCGCTACAATCCTAGACTACCTACTGATGTGCTCTCTGCAAGCTGCATGAGCCTCTGCCACGGGCTGCAGAAATTCTGCTACTTCTGCCCTTTTGAAATCTCCTTTCAAATTTAGAAACTTCTTGAGGACTTCTTTTAAATCAATCTTTTAATACCATTACCAACTATAGTTTCTATTCATGCTAAATGATTAAGGGAAAACTGAGATCTTAATAGGCTGAAACCTGTCAGCTCTTGAGACTGGAAAAGTTGACTTTTCTCATAGTTAATATTAAAAATCCCTTTAAAAACTGAAACTAAGCTCATCAAAATTAGATATTTAAACATGTATTTGAATTTGTGTCCGACCCAAACAGAACCATCAAACTATAAAATTCAGGTAACTAATAAAGATAAATGAGCAACAAAGAAAGTCTCAAAACGATCATGAATTCTAAGATTTTTTTTTAAGAAAAATTTTTCAAAAAATTCACCACCTCTAAAAATTCAGTTCCCAACACTTTAAAAGATGTAATTCTTTTTTTTTTACCTTGTTATTTCAATGTTAAAGTCAGCATCAGAAGTTGAAAGTTGGTTAGTTAAGTTTTGAGTGAGAGATGTAGTTTGCACGAAGATTCTGTGCTGAACTGATGACTATCTGCTTGTAGGCCTCAGAAGCAAGTCCCCCACCCCTGCAACTCCCCCAAAGGAAGACACTCATTCTGAAGACTGTGAAGAAGTGCTATGCTGATCTATGCAACTTCAGAAAAACTCCACTAATTCTATGGCTCTCTTGGAAAAAGAACCAAAACAAGACAAAGTTGAATAGATAAATGGTCAAATGTTCAGAAACATTTATGTCGCCAAGAATAAGGAATCATAAGTGGTATTAATGCCATGACCAGGTAAACTGATTTTAAAGCTTAGTCTTTTATAAGTTGGTCTCTACAAATGATCTGCAATGTTACACTGAATTTTTACTAACAACTGGAAAAATATTTCATGTTTTTGCAGCTAACAACTTAGTAATACCTACTCAGAGTACATACTTCTTTATGTACCCATATGAACATACAATGCTATGGAATGTAAAGAAGTATGTATTTTTGGTAGGTAATAAACCATCCAGACAGAACTAAACTGCAGCTAAAGGTGCCTTTGCTTTTTTCTACCTGAATGATCACCACATGATAAATTAATCTACTATCAAATAGACAGCCTTTGCCTACACTTACATCAAAGACAAGTGTACCTCCTCCTGAAAGACAAAAATGAAATTTTCCTAAGAGCTACATTTTATGAAGAAGTTTTACTGTTGTAGATCTCAAACTCTCAAGAAATTCCTTTGAAAGCACAATTTTAAAACACAGCTCATATATTATGCATTTTTAAATTATGTACTTATGTGGTAACTCCTGACCACATAAAGGTAACAAATATTACCAGCACAGCAGAATAAGCGAGAGAAAGGGCCTGTATCTTTCGTCTCCATAATCTGACCTCAATTTACCACATTCAGAGTGTTGACTGCTTTACTATGAAAAATAAGATATATCAAAAGCTGAATTCATTCATTTTAACAAATATTCTTCAGATTTTGATAAATTTACAATTTATTAATAGTAGAAAATGTTCTGAAGCAAAATTTACATTGTTTTAAGTTTTCTTACTCGACAACGACAGGCATAGTCATCAACTCAAAAGACTCTTTTAAGTAAAATTTGATTGTAAAAAATAAAGTGGCGTGTTTTTTCCCTCAAGTTTATCAGTTCCCCAATCCAATCTTTGCTTTAAATGCAGCTATATTTAAGATTAACTAAGAAACACAAGATTTAAGTATACAAAATGACCAAATTCTGGGTAACAATTATAAGTCAATAGGTAAAATAATGCTGTCAAATATTTAGAAGCAGTTAGCTTACTACCTGAATGACCTTTAAATTTGTTTTCTCCAAAAAAATCAAGTAAAATTAAGACTATGGTAGAGAACCAATTTATGTAGATAAAATAACCATTTCTATTGGTACTATAAAACAATTCATTTTTAATATAATGGATCACTGTATACAGCTTGGATATGACAAGAGATATTGAAACATGCTTTATATGGTTTATTTTGCATATTCATTAAAAATCATAACCAACTGTGTTCCTAGCAACAATCTATAAGTAGTGCTTCTTTTAAGCCACTAAAATATATGACAAAGTTACTAGGAACAATACCAGTATTGATATTTTCTTTTTTTTTTTCATTTTTTATTATATTTTTGACAATCTTTACATAGTTAATTAGGGTAAAAAGGTTCAAGGGCTATAGGAAAGTGGGTAAGACTATTATTTTCATTTATTGATATTTTCTAATCTTTTCTAAAATAAAGGAATTTCAACTAGAATATTTACATACATATGAAAAGTACAATATTTTACATTCCTTACATTAAAAATTAAATAAAGATGACTTAGTTTAACTATAATTTTTGTTGAGCAAGACAATCACTTAAAAAGATACTTCTTTTTATTTTAAAGGCTAATGCCACCGCATGTTTATTGGAAATTACAGGCAGTGCATGATTAAGAATCTTGTTGTATTAAGAATATATGATCCTCAAAATAAAATGCGACGCTATTTAAAAGTAAAATTGTACAATGACTCTAAAAATTACAAGTTTAACCTAGTATATTAAAGAGTATTTTCTATCACTCTAAAATGTCACAACCATCACTTAGATCAGCTGTTCATTTTTAACTGAGTACATGTTAAACTCTGGGCATCTGCTGACACTGGTGTAACTCAAACATTTCAACTGTCTCCCTGACAAGGATAACAGATGCTGACATTATCAAATGCTGTACTATTTTTTTCCCCATGGCCTCTCTTTGCCCTGATATGGCCAGTAAATGAAAATGAACTACCATCCAAAAGCACACTTGAGCAACTGGATCTGCTAAATAGCTCCCATGTAACCAGTAAAAATAGAAGCCAGTGTTGTTGCTATCTTCAGTACTTAAGTTCAGGCCATTTAACACCTGTTACTCTTCTATTAGAAAAAAAATGACAGAATTGCAGTGACATTAATTTTATCAGGAGCATGATACTCACTGACCAAAAAATGAAGAATATGCTGAATGTAAGAAATGTTTCATATTGCCTAAATTAGTGTTGACCTAGTTCAATTTCAAATTAACTATACAGCATATTTCTTTGATTTATATTTTACTGTAAGAACTTACCTTAAGACAATAAATCAACAGCTACAGTGTTAAGAAAAATATACTGTGCTGATTTTTAAAGTATAAGTCACATGATAGGTTTTCAATACCCGGATTCATGGATTAAGCTTATCATAAATTTATATTTTATTAAATTGGTAATTTAAAAAATAACTAGGTAAACTGTACCCAACACTGCAGAAAATTTAGATAAAGAAATAGACCTTAAGAAGACTACTTTAGACTAATACCCATACATAAACAGAAACAAAGAAAAATAATCTGGCATTCATAGTCTTCCTTTCAGCACAAGTCCAACAGATTCACTGACAACACGTGTGATCTATTTATACAGCAGAAGCAGTGGCACTTTAAGGCCACTCATACTCCTCCACCCCAGGCCAGCAACTTAGTATTCATCCTCAACTATAACACTTAAAAAAAAATCAGTGGTGGTAGAAATGTGTTACTAACAGTACTCTACTTAACCTATCCGTGCATTAGCTTAACCACTTAAGTAATCTGGTTTGCTGCCTAGCAATAGAAAACATTACACCAAGGTCTACTTGTTCTTTCAAACACTGTTGGTTTTGCAACAAGTTATTGTCTACCCTTCAAAATAAGCAAAGATGTTGCAAACAAAGATGTACAACAATAATTCCTTGTGTTAAAAAGACTCCTGGACTCTAAGAAAAAGTGTCTTCAAAAAAGAAGTTGTATATTCACTGAAGCATTGATATCAGGAACTTCTATTGCTCATATAAGGTCCAGAATAATAACTGCACAACGAAAATAATATAAATGTTTCTGGATTCCAAACTAGCAGCACTACATACAATGCTTTGCTAGAGCTGGTAAAATGGAACCAAATCGCCTCTTTAATGGATTTGGTCCCCTTCAACCAGCTGTAGCTATGCATTGATTACACAGGACAGCTAACTTTTCAAGCATGGATGTCAATCAAATATCAACATTTCAACTTACTTAAATTAATAAGAATGTAGTTCATATAAAATACTTTTATTGATATTAACGCTACTTCTGAACAGTTGTAGTATTTAAAGTTGTTTGCAAAAAAAAACCTTAAAATTATTGTATGTAAAATTTAAGGATCTCAAATAAAACAATGTTGCTCACTTATGGTCTCTTGGTGTTAAGTTTCCTATCCCTTAGAAATAAAATGATAATTATGTAGGCTGAACTTCATCATAAGAAATATATACCCTTCCTTCAAAAGAAGAAAATATCTGGGAAGGCCACCTAAAACCCACCACAACACATGAGAATGACACAATGAGGGGCAGGGTCACAAATGCCACGAATGTACACATATTTCAGGTTTTAAAAACTGTAACAGTACATAAAGCTACACTCTAGAAATGTCACTGTCGCCCATAGCAGATAAGAAGAAAAAGGGAGACTATTGAATATTAGATCTTGTCGGAAGACTCCCATAGTAATTACCTAATTCTTCTGAACCTGAACCCAAGGTATTTAATCCTGAAAAAAGGAAGAAAATACTAACCTCAATCTCAATAGTAATTCATTAAGTTCTTTCAGCTCTCAATACCAGTTTCCTCAGTTGTAAAGTGAAACTGTCCTCATCACACTTGATGGACTTCTTTTGTCTTCTTTGTCCTTTACAAAAACAGACAAGCACAATTCTCTCGTCCCCCCTCCCTCTGTCTTCCTCTTCTCTCCATGTAGAAATTCAACTAAGGAAAAAGTGACAAATGATCTAATACTCATCCAACCTTCTTAATGACTGTGATTTAGCTATAAATCTATAAATAATTTAATGTCTTTTATTTAGGGACAAATATTTAAGCAGTTAATGAAGGTTACTGAAGGCAATTCTCAACTCCTGACCACTCTTTTAAAGAAATCGCCCCCTTAAACAATGTGGGCAAAAGAAGGGAGGGAGAGAGGGAGGATGGGAAGGAGAGAGGAAGGAGGGAGATTGTGGGTGGGTAGGGGTGTGTGTGTGTGTGTGTGTGTGTGTGTGTGTGTGTGTGTGTGTGTAAACCTCATCATTTCATTCAAATAAGTCATCTCTGTACTTCCTATGGGCAAAAGAAGGGAGGGAGAGAGGGAGGATGGGAAGGAGAGAGGAAGGAGGGAGATTGTGGGTGGGTAGGTGTGTGTGTGTGTGTGTGTGTGTGTGTGTGTGTGTGTGTGTGTGTGTGTGTGTGTAAACCTCATCATTTCATTCAAATAAGTCATCTCTGTACTTCCTATTAATCAAATCTCAGCCATATTAAACACGTACACATTACAAGGCACATGTTCGAAAGTAAATGTGTAAGCACACAGTAGAGAAAAAGGACCTGTTATAAATCTACTACCATTTTATAGACTGTCAGCTCAATCTGTATATAGCATTCAGCATGTTCAGAGTTACTGGTAACAAAAAACCTTAAATAAGATATAGTTCGAATGATTAAATCTTCCTGCATTCAATGTGGCCTCATTTACCAGACATTACAGATATTTTAGAATTTAAAAATTAAAGGTATCACAATGTTCTTGAGAAAATTATGAGTTACTCAAATGTTAATTACACTTATTAATTTATTCTTAGAAATATATATAATGAGTAAGAAATGCGTATGTTATCTTAACAGTAACCTGAAAACACACAGTAAGTACAAAATATCATGGGATTCACTCATACCTTACTGCTACTTTTCAAATCCAGTTTATAGTAATGAACAATGCTTAAGTAATACGATATAAATTAACTTTACAATCTGGCGATCAGTACCATCAAAATACCTATCATTTTTGTTGCCTCTGCAGAAACTTCTGACTTATTTTCATGGCTGTGAAGAAACTATGGAAATTTGCAGGCAGCTCACAGGAAAGTTATTCAGTAACATTCTTATTGAAACTTTGTTTTCATTTTTATCAGCAGAAATAATCTCTCTTTTAGACAAAAATCTAAAATTTTTTCCTAATTTTAGAAGATGATACGGCTAAAAGAAAAAACATGCCAATAAATACCAAATGTAAGAGTATATAAATTGAATGGTTCTTAGTTAAAATATCTTAAAAACAATTACACTGAAGCATGTGGCAACTGCCATTTTTTAATACTAAGAACTTTATAAAGTCTAACCAAAAAGAACACATCTTGTAAACATAATATTAATTTTAATAATTTAAGTAACTATTTGTGATGGCATTAGAATATACTCACAATGATAACTTACTGTAGGAAATAAATATATACAAAGTAAAAAAAAGTAACTTCAAAAATAGGTAAGAATTATACTTTTGCTATTACAGTATTATAATAGATAAAGTATAATCAATTTCAATTAAAATGGACTGACTATACATGAAGTACAACAGTTAAGCAAAGGATACTAAATAAATATAACTGGGGCACAAAAAAAAATATGGCAAGGAACTAAATCAAACGTTACAATTCAAGGTAAAACAGTCACTAAGGTAACTCTCAACTTGCATACATACAATTACAAAATTGTCATTCTACAAACATGTATTTAGGTGTCAGGTGTTGGTGTAGAGGTCAAGTGGCTGCTGTGTTGCCTACATCCCACATCGGAGTGCTTGGCTCTGGCTCCAGCCATTCTGCTTCTCATCTAACTTCCTGCTAATGCATACCATGGGAAGAAGCAGATGATGGCTCCAGGGCCAACTTTGTAATTGCATGAAAGTTCAATCAGTGATGAGACAGAACAGGGAAATTAATTAAAAACACACTACAGTAGTTTACATAAAAGTGGTGGGTAGGTAATTTGGTCTATAGCACTGGGATCAGAGATGATGGAATGAACTAGAAAAACTGGTAGAATAAATAGGATTAACAGCAAATTGAGAACTACTTAGAGAGCCCTCACGGTAAAGTAGCAATAGGAATGGCACACTAATAATTTTTTTGATTAAATCACTCACTGTCCATATGCCTTGTCTCACAGAGACCATATACACAAAAAAGTAATATGAAGTGCCTTGGAAACATTGAAGTCACACAGCCCTTGCTCAAATTCCAGTGGCTTCAATAATCAACTATGTGATCTCGATTAAGTAAATTCACCATGTAAGCTTTATATTCTTCATCTATGAAATAAATATATTAACAGCTGCCTCAAAAATCTGTTAAAAGGATTAAGTGAGGCCATGCACACAGAATTGTCTGTCTGAAAGTTATGGAACATATAGCACTTTCCCGTCTCCTTCACAATGAAAACATGAATGTTCAAATATTTTCAATTTGAAAATCAAGACGTGAGCGAAAACAAATTCATACATTATATCCCACAATATGTACACACTGTTATGGGTACCAACAAGCAACAGCAATAAAATTATTTTTGTTCTGGGATTGCCCTCTAGTGGTGATCCTAAGAAGCTAAAAGATTAAAAACAATTTAGAGCTTAAGACAACAAAACTCTCAAAACAAATATCAAAATTGGGGCGCGCATTGTAGCACATCAGGTTAAACCACTGTTTGTGATGACAGCATCCAGTTTCACACTGGCTCTCAGGTACCAGCTCCTCTGCCTCCAATTCAGCTTCTGCTAATGTGATCTACCTCAGAGAGCAGCAGAAGATGGTCCAAGCACTGGGCCCGTCACCCATGCAGCAGACCCAAATGGAGTTCCCAGCTCCTGGTTTCAACCCCAACTACTATAGCCACTTGTGGGGGAAATCAGCAAATACTAAGATCTCTTTTTCACTTTTCCCCCTCTTTCTGTTACCCTGCCTCTTTCACATTTTCTTTAAAAAAAAAAAAAAAAACATCAAAGCAAACATTTTCCTCAGCAGAGATACACAGGTGTTAAAACACACACACACACATACACACATATAGGTGTGATCGAACATTGGTCCAAGAAAATGAGTTCACAGAAATCTGTAGATTAATTGAAACTATTTACTTTTTTTTTTCTTCCTTTATTCTTTTTTCGGTGAGACCCTGGAGACTATTATTTATAAATAATGAGTCCCTCTAAAAGTGCTCGAACTGTAATTAACAAATTTCATTTTTCAGTAACACAAGTTACTGTAACAAGAATTAGAGACATTTAACAGTAGGAGTTTATATAACTAATCATAGAATAAGGAAAGGAACCAGCTAGTAGTTTTATTTTGCACAAGTTTAAAAAACAGTTACCATGAAGATATATAAATGGGAAAGATGCCTTGAGAATGAGTTTGAAGATATATGTCTCCAATTGGAATGCATTTAAATGTTTAACAATTTACATCGACATTTAGCATAATCATCTCACAATACTTATATTAGTTTAGAAACTAACAAAATCCCCCAACAAAGCCAACATATTGAATTAAATTATAAACCTGTGTTAACATTTAAACTGGCTCAAAATAGTAAAATAAACTAAAATCATTTCTTCATCTGTTACAGAAAAAAAGAGAACCAGTAACAAGAAAATATTTCTAAAGTACACTGGAAATAGTAAAAGATGACCTTTTTACCTGGGATTTCCCCTCAGTGCAGCATGGTGTAGAGCATTGAATCCATTATTGTTTGTGATGGTAACATCTGCTCCAGCTTCCAAAAGAACAGCCAGGATATCATCACGTTTCTTACTTATTGCATCATGAAGAGGGGTATCACCTTCAGAATCCTTTTTTGTTTGGTTTAAAGAATATTCATTAGTCTTTTTTAAACAAATCAACACAGCTAATAGTAACACTGAATTACTCAACAAGGAAAAGGCAACAGGCCAAATCCAACAACCATTAACAAAAGATTATACTCTGGATTACATGGGAGCGCATTTCACTTCAAAGAGCTCACCGAAAAGGGGAATTAAAACACAAGTTTATTTGGCTGCAAAGAATTCTTTTTCATAAGTCTGTTTTCTCACAAGTTGTTAAAGACTCTTCATAAGAAAATACAGGTAACACATACTAGCCACATTAGACGCACTCAAACCAAGACAGAACACACGCTGTAGCTTTCCAAAAGAAAACAAAAATAATCTCAAACATAAATTAACAGCAAAAATCTGTAATCTAAAAAAGTTCCCAAAAAGACATAATGAATTTTAAATGGCCTGCTACACCTTGTTACTACTCACGGCTGTACCCTGAAATTCCATATCCAACCTACACCAGACTCAGGTCACAACAATTAATTAGAAGTCAGTGGTTCTCCAAATTCAGCTGCACATCAGAGTCCACTGACGAGCTCTGAAAAACCCTTATGCCCAGGGGTTCTCCAGATCAATCACATCTCCATCTGTAGTTTTACCAGAGCTCCTCAAATGAGAGAATTCATCAACTGAAACGCTTTCAAAGGGCAAAGTGACTAGTTAGATCAAAGCAAAAACAAATAAGAGAAAATTTGTTATTGTCAGTCTTTTTTTCAAGCCATTTTCACATTAACAACTGGTTTAGTAAGCTCCTACTCATCATTCATTTATATAAATGGATAATGTTGACTTAATTCAGTTCCTAGCTCCTTACTGTTTCTCACCCTTCTGGCTATGATGAAGTGCAATTCATAACTCCTCAGATATTACTCTAAGTCTGAAACAGTACAGCCTATGACACACAGCACAAAGTTGCCAAATCCAGATGCCACCTGTTTCTGTAAATTCAGTCTCTAGAGGAAGACAGACACACCATTCATCTAGGTATCATTCATGACTATTTCATCCTAAAACAGCAAAACTGCATAGTTAACGATAGAAACCACATTTAAAGCCTATAATACTCTTATCAGCTACATAAAAAACATATAAATAGGCATTTACCCATTCAACAACAGAAGGAACTCCTAACCTGAGTTAAACCCAACCATCCATTTTCCAAACTCCTGTTATCTGATGAATTAAGAACTTGCATCTTTGGGGGTCCAGCACAGTAGCCTAGCAGCTCAAGTTCTCATCTTGCATGTGCCGGGATACCATATGGGCACCAGTTCTAATCCCGGCAGCCCCACTTCCCATCCAGTTCCCTGCTTGTGGCCTGGGAAAGCAACCGAGGACAGCCCAAAGCATTGGGACCACGCACCCATGCGGGAAATCTGAAAGAGGATCTGGGTTCCTGGCTTCAGATTGGCACAGCTCCAGTCATGGCGGCCACTTGCAGGGTCAATCAGCTGATGGAATACATTTCTTTCTGTCTCTCCTCCTTTCTGTATATCTGACATTCCAATGAAAATAAGTCTTAAAAAAAAAATCGCACCTTTGGAGCTGGCAATGTGGCAGAATAGGTTAACTTGCAACTCCAGCATCCCATATAAGCACCAGCTCAAGTCTCAGTTGCTCTACTTCAAATCCAGCTCTCTGCAAGTGAACCTGAGAATGCACAAAATGACCCAACTGCCACCTATGTCAGGGAACTGGATGAAGTCCTGGATTCCTAACCTCAGCGTGCCCAATCCTAGCCATTATGGTCATTTGTGAAATGAACCAAGGAATGGAAGCTCTATCTCTCCCTCGTTCTAATCCTGCCTTTCAAATAAACACCCACTGTCAGATCTGAGAACCAGGATGGTATGCAGGACAGGTGGGTCTAGTCACATCACCAGTCAATTCACATTAGGGCCAGGACTGGGGGTAACACTGCAGATGGAGATTCAACAATAGAAACAGCAACATGAGAAAAGAGACACAGAGCTCAGTTAAAGAAGGCAGCACTCCGAGACTCCAACACCAAGATGCTCACGTCCCTGCAAGAGAAGGAGGTGGCTGCCTGTGCACTCAGGGAGGAGCTCCACACTCGGGAGCAGTTGCTGAAAGAAACAGAAGTCAGATCCCAGCAGCTCTTCAGTGCCACAGAGGCCATCCTCAAGCAAATCCTGCTGTTCCAGCAGGAGAGAGATGCAATGCTGCTGGCCATGAGACAGAAACACCTGCAGGAACAGGTCCTGCAGAGCGCACTGAAGAGCTTACAAGACACGTTCAGCCAGGGGCAGGTGGGATCACTACCATCTTCCACAGTCCCAAGATTTTCACCTGCCTGATATCTGCCTGAAGCAGATGGACTGGCTGCAGTTCAGTCGGGATTGGAAGCAGAAAGCAGACCCCTGAGAGCCCTGGTCAGCACAGCCACTAATGATGCTGGCCAGGGGACACTGACACCTGGGGGGATCTGCAGATGCCACAGCAGACCCGGATCACCTACACTGACACCCTGAGCGGCAAGACTGAAGCTGATGTTGAGACCCAACAGCAGCCGCCTGCCAAGCCTCAACCTGACACCAGGCCCAAGCCTTCTACAATGGGGGACAAGAAGCTGATTGCTATTAAGGCTCTGGGACCATGATATGGTTCAATGTGAAGACCAGAAAGGGCTTCATCAGCCAACATGACATCAAAGAAGACATATTTGTCCATCACACCGTCATTCTGAACCACAAACCCCGGGAAGCACCTGCCCAGCCTAGGAGACAGTAAGAGAGTGGAGTTCAACGTGATGGAGGCTCAGAAGGCCATGCAGGGTGCCAATGTCACAGGGGAGCTGCAGTGTGGGGAAGCAAATATGGGACCATTCCCAGTGCTACCCATGATGCAGAGCTCCTGGGCACCACCTCCCACAGGGTCACCTCACCAGCGACACTGAGGGCTCAAACAGCACATACAAAAGCCAGGTCCAACCTCACTAGCCCCAAGGCTGGCAAAGGCTTCCAATTTGCTACTACCGGAGACCCTACTGGCACCCAAAACAGGAATCCCACACTCCAGAGCTGGTGCGGGATCAAGGGTTGGAAGGTGCCCAGGGCCCAGCTGTGCACAATCCCGAAGTGCACACCCAAGACTAGGGAAAGACTCCTATATCCAGCAGCCACCTCTCACATGCTACCCAAGATGGCTTTCAGGCGAGGGTCGCCTATAATGTTAATGAAAATCCACCAGTTACAGCACTTACTGGCAAGTGTCGGGACTGGGTGCAGGAAACATCAGGTTAGACCACACTACTCCCTGGCAAGCACATGACGCTGGGCTGGGAGTGGGCCTGATAAAGAGCCTTTGGGTACTTCCCTGCTAAGCTGCTGCTTGTGAGTACTGGTGAGTACAAGAGTCACAGCTGGGGCTGGTTAGGATCAACAAGTTGGCAGCACTCAACAGCTTACCTGTAGGTCAGATACAGGGTCAGGTCAGGCTGAACTAAGCCACAGCTCCCATGCATGTACATAAGAATCACATGGGACACAGGATGGGTCAGGCTGAGTCTTAGCATATGCCAGCACACACAAAAGCCCAGACAGGGGAAAGCCTGGTGCAGGTTACTGAGCATCATGCCGACTTGGCTGTAGCACCCATTAGTGTGCTTGAAGACCAGGCCTGTCATGGGCTGGACCACAGCACACTCCAGTTTGCACAAAAGTTGGGGTCAGGGCAGAACCAAGCAAGCAGCTGCATTTATTGGTATAAGCATTGGCTGATACTAGTGGTGAACCAAAACAGGCACACACAAGTGAAGTAAACCCAGTGAAGTTTCTTGGGTTAATCCCAACTAGTCTGCTCGACTCAAACTCAGCCACAGGGAAGTCAAAGGAGATGTAGTCCAACCTGGTCCAGTCAGGGCCTCCTCATTCCCAATGCCTGAGCAGTGGGCACTGGGTCTGGATGCAGATGTAGAACATGAAGACTAACACTCCTAGGCCAGCAGAGGACACAGTGTACCTCCTCAGAGGATGGAAAGCAGAACAGGCTGCACAACTTTCTTGGCCAAGCTTTGCAAATGCCTGGATATATGGATCTATGAATGCACTGGTATTTTTGGTCAGCCAATAGATCCTGAAAAGATTTTCTGAACCCAGGTGAACAAACTGACAATGTCTCAGAAATATCAAAGCCACTCAAGCAATACCCTCAGAATACTCTTCCCCTCTGGATTTTCTAAGATATCACCAAATAACCATCTCCTGACACTGCCCAGGTACTGATGTGGTTTAACAGCAAGGAGAAGTCCCTTTCCCTTATCCAACAGGGAACACAGCAGGGAGCAACAACAACAACAAAAAACAACTGAAACATTTGTTACACGCACCTTCCTCCATGCATAGACTCTGCCTACCCTTATCAGAGACCCACATGGACATACAGCCCTCTCAACTATGTAAACAGTATACAAAGAAAAAAAAATTTTTTTTTAAAGAAAGGAAAATAATTAGGGTCTTCTGAGAAGGAAAGGTTGCCAATGTTATCATGTCCTTTACCTGTTTCACCCACTACAGAACTTCACGTTTCCTTTTCAGGAGATCCTAGCAATACCAGCAGACAATCTATATAAAGGTTTTTACCTGGAGACTGGGATGACAACCAAAGTCCAATAATGTCTTCACAACTTGAAGATGACCTTTATTAACAGCAATATGAAGCGGTGTCTGTCGGCGCTTGTTGCGAGCATTCAAATCAGCACTGCCTCGGTGTAGTACTTCTATGACCGCACCTTCATCTCCAAAGGCTGCATGGTGTACTGCTCTGTCTCCATCTTTATCCTACACATTATCATTTAAACTTGAATTAGTAAATATTTTACAAGGAAAAACAAAGCTACAATAATATACCAAGAACCATATTTGTTTCAGGAAGCAGAGTAGAGCCAACAAAGTTATCACCTGAACAGTGACTCACTCCAAAGAAAAACAATAAGCAGCCCAGGTTAATATATTATCAGCACAACAGTGAAATGCACTACACTAATAGGAAGGGAAATCATTTGATCCTTCTCTGCTTCTAATCTGTCAGTCATGATACCAATTTAGGGAACATCAAGACAATGCTAAACAAATTACACAACAGGACACAAAGCGTTTTATACAGCATTTCCAATAACATAAAAATCACACCAATTTAAGTTGCCCAAAACAAAAATAAAGTGATCTCAGCTTTAAAGGAGAAACATATCACTACACTAACATTCATTTTCAGTAAGCAATGAGCATCTTTGCATATTTCAAAAAAATTAAGTAGCAAATCAAAATTAGATGGAAGTCTAAACCAGCAAAATTATACATATTCAGGATTCTAAAATCCTTCCAGAGGAATCACACAGATATATTTAGGAAGTGATAAATCTCCCTAAATTTTTTTTCACTTGAGAAAAAGATGTTTGAAAGAGAAGCAGGAAGGCATGAGCCTGAACTTAATCTTGAAAGCAGCATACTTCCCAAGGGTCACAATCCAGTGCCAGTTCCTGGTGGACTTCCTATCTTTGCAAAAGGTATGAAACTCCACATAGCATCCAGAAATATCTATACTACTTTTAAAAATGTCTGCTTATTTCTACTTGAAAGGCAGAATTAAAGAGAGACACAAAGAGACCTTCCTTCAACTTGTTTACTCCCCAAATGGCCACAACAACCCAAGTGAGACCAGTCTGAAACAAAGAACCAGCAGCTTCATCTGGATTTCACATGGCTACAATGGCTGAAGCACTCCAGCCATCCTCTGGTGCTCTCCCAAGCCATCAACTAGGTGCTGAATTGGAAGTACAGAAGCTAGGACCCAAACCAGAGCCCGTTAGCCAGCATCACATGCAGAAAATCAGCATACCACACCACCGCACTGGACTGCATTATCTACCATTCCTAAGAATAAAGAAACTCACACAAAGTGAAATACTTCAGATTCAATTCTTATAATGAACACCTTAAATTTTAAATAAATCTGTATGTACAAACACATACATATATAATTTACAATTAATCTCTCACTATATCAGAATCTTAAAAGTTTAAAAGACTTCCCCTCTAAGCTACAATCTGCAGTATTTTTTTCCTGTTATTTTCATGCCAACATTACTGCTCCCCTTCCATTCAAAAAAGAAACAGTAATCTGCTACTAAAACTCACCAAATATTTATAAAGTGTACTACACATTTATGGTTGTTACAAAGCCACTCCTAAAATATTTTATGTGGGCCTTAAAACCTGCATGAAATTGGGCTCAGTGCAGTAGCCTAGCAACTAAAGTCTTCACCTTGCATGGCACCGGGAGCCCTTATGGGTGCCAGTTTTAACCTCTCCTGCTCCACTTTCCCACCCAGCTCCCTGCTTAGGGGGCTGGGAAAGCAGTCAAGGACAGCCCAAAGCCTTGGGACCCTGCACCTGCGTGAGAAACCCAGAAGAAGCTCCTGACTCCTGGCTTCAGATCGGCTCAGCTCTGGCCACTGCAGTAACTTGATGAGTGAATCCATGGACAGAAGATCTTTCTCTCCTTTTTTCTGTATATCTGACTTTCCAATAAAAACAAACAAATCTTTTAAAAAAAAAACCTGCATAAGATATACAAAGAGGAAATATACTGGAACATTTGAGATTATGGAACATATATACATACACACATAAGAAATTAAATTTATTTCCAGATGTCTATTCTAGATTAGAAAAGTACAGGCACACTGAGACCTTAATTTATTAAGTTTCTGTGTTCTTCTGAATGCATACTAAACATCCCAAATAAACCTAACATACAGCCTGTCTCAGCTGCAGATACCAATTAAAGTTTTAAGAGACCAGGTTACAGATGACTTTCCCAGGGTCATCTCACATTTATTAAGGGACTCCTAGGAAATCTAACACTGATCTTGACAATAAAACAATTCTCTTTTCTTCTCCCCTTTTCTGTGTCTCAATTCTTCAAACCCAGATCTTATCTCATTAACTCCCTGTTTTAGCTGACGGGAGCACCGATGTTACAGCCAACAGTCCCACAATCGCAGAGGACACGGTCAGTCAGCATCCCTGAGCACGCTCAGCATTGCTCTGCCTGAGCCCTCCAGTGCAGTCACCGGCAAGAACAGCTCTGCTGAACGACCAGGAGGCTAGCTAAACGGGAAATCCCGCCCCTCCCCCCCACCGAGCAGATCTCAGATGTATCTGAAGACAACCGCAGGGAAAGCCGTGTAAATATCTGATGGAAGACAAGAGCTGAAAACACCATGGAGCTGGCAGCAGGAAGGGTCATGCTTTCTGAATTCTAGAAAACCTTTGAAGGTCAGGCCAAAACGACTTAGTGGAGAAACATGAAGAAAAAAAAAATAAATCAGCAATAATATTCAATCTGAGAAAACAAAAGTATTAGTAAGGCAAGACTATAAAACTGCAATTATGCTCCCTTTTCAAATTTGGGAAATTCAGATTTTTAGTCTACCATCTTATAAAAACAACTGAAGGGCCCAGGGTGGTAGCCTAGTGGCTAACTTCATCACCTTGCATGCACCAGAATCCCACCATATGGGTACCAGCTCATGTCCCAGCCACCCCACTTTCTTTTCAGCTCCCTGTTTGTGGCCTAGGGAAGCTACAAAAGAAGGCCCAAAGCCTTGGGACCTTGCATTGACCTGAGAGACCCAGAAGAAGCTTCTGGCTCCTGGCTTTAGATCAGCTCAACACCAACCATTGTGGCATCTCAAGGGTGTAAACCAGCAAGGGGAACATTTCCGTGTGTGTGTGTCTCTCTCTCTCTCTCTCTCTCTCTCTCTCTGTATCTCCTTCTCTGTGTAAATCTGCTTTTCCAATAAAAATAAAACAATCTTTCTTATAAAGAAAAAAACAATTGAAAAACTCATCCTTGGGTCTCATAAATACTCATAATATTCATCTTCCTCTTGATGTCCCATTTCATCAACAGTCATTTTCTATTGCTTTGTTTTTTTAAAGGGGAAAAATAAGGAAGGCACTAATTGCAACCTGAGTTTAATATAAATTCCTGGTCCTGGCGCGATAGCGCAGTGGTTAAAGTCCTCACCTTGAACACGCCAGGATTCCACATGGACACTGGTTCTAATCCTGGCAGCCCTGCTTCCTATCCAGCTCCCTGCCTGTGGCCTGGGAAAACAGTCGTGGACAGCCCAAAGCCTTGGGACCCTGCACCTGTGTGGGAGACCTGGAAGAGCTCCCGGCTCCTGGCTTCAGACTGGCTCAGCTCCAGCCATTGCAGCCACTTGGGGAGTGAACCATCACACCGAAGATCTTCCTCTCTGTCTCTCCTCGTCTCTCCTCCTCTCTGTATATCCATTTTTCCAATAAAAACAAATAAATCTTAAAAAAAAAGTAAATTCCTAAGAATTAGAGATATCTAATAGCCATCCTTGTGGTTACTATTTTGAAGTCTGGCTTGTACTTAATAAAATAATTCTCTTAAAATTTGCCTATCTGTAAAACCATCTGCCCTTTTCCACTCAGTTTTACAGTTATAAAAGTACTTCCGTAATTTTATTTTCATCAATGAAATAAGCAGAGTCAGACAGAAGCAGCATCTATTCACTGAAAAACTACTGTTTGTTTCTGAAAGGTGGAAAGAAATGTTTAATAAAGAAGAGTTAAACACAGGGAATAATATAAATGCCCATGGTGCAGATAGGACACAAAGATTAGTTACTCCTCACTAGGAGACTGAAGATTTCTCTATACACCCCTCCTAAAACTGTTTTGCACCTAAACTGTTAATATACGTCTTGTTAGAGTTATAAGCCAGTCTAGACTACCCGAAAAAAAAAGCCAGGTTCAACAAAATTATGCTTCAACGTTATAAAATGCTAAATATTAAAAGGAAAATAGACACGAGACAGCTGAATAATAATCTATAACCTTTTTAAGGTGTATAGAATCCGGTTGTATATAAACTAAAATTGAAATATCAATGTGAAGAAGTCACAGGATGTGGTTAAGAACTTGCATTTTTTTTTTAACATATTGGTTACTCAATACTATGTCAATTAACTCCATAATGTTATAAATTGTTGCTGATGTTATGTTGGAGCTTTTTTTTCTTAAGATTTATTTTTACTTATTGGAAAGTCAGATATATAGAGAGGAGGAGAGACAGAGAGGAAAATCTTCCGTCCGATGATTCACTCCCCAAGTGAGCGCAACGGCCGATGCTATGCCGATCTGAAGCCAGGAACCAGGAACTTCCTCCAGGTCTCCCACATGGTGCAGGTTCCCAAAGCTTTCGGCCGTCCTTAACTGCTTTTCCCAGGCCACAAGCAGAGAGCTGGATGGGAAGTGGAGCTGCCGGGATTAGAACCAGCGCCCATATGGGATCCCGGGTGTTCAAGGTGAAGACTTTAGCCTCTAAGCCACGCCGCCGGGCTCTCAACTTCTATCTTCACCAAGACCTATGCCTAGACTACCAAGAGCTCACAGACAAGTTGCCTGCTGTCCAATTTTATTATCAAGCAGAAAAGCATTAGGAAAATATCAACAGTCAAGAATAAAAATATGTATCACACAGAAACTTTTTAAGAACATGACATTTTACTGAAAATATTTTCAAGCTTAGTTTAGTTACCTCTGCTTCTACATCCACATTTTGCTTCAAAAGCAACTTCAAGATGTCAACATGTCCATTTTGACTAGCAGCTTGCATAGCTGTATGGCCAGCACACTGCCCATTCACCTGAATAATAAAAAAAAAAGAGGATGAACAACTATCACAAATCAAAAATAATCAATATATACATACAACAGTTAGAAATTCAGTATCATGATTCAATCAGAATAATCTCATATTCCATGTTACAGCTTTTTTCAATGTGTGAGTTGGCTTTCCATGTTACAGCCATTTAATTTATAGAAGAAAGACAAACTTATTTTGAAAAGAAAAAAAGTTCAATTATCCAAAGAACTATCATAGAAATGTGAACCAGTGGATGGAAGATCTGTCTCTCCTTCTTCCTGAATATCTGCCTTTCCAATAAAAATAAATAAATCTTTTAAAAAATACATAAATGAGTTACCCAGTGCTTACATAAAACTATTATATTTTAAAGCAATAATTTCCCATCTTTACTTCACGTGTTATTTACTTACACATGGACATACCCAAAACCAAGCACAATTCCACAACTCTGACCCATTCCCTCTCATCCACAAAAGTGGGTTCAAGATGATAGCCTGGCCACACGTTTACCATAGCTCACCCAAAACCATACAAAAATGACAGTAAAATAAAGCACTCACACACACAAATTTATAAAGAAAACACTAACCCCAGAGAAAAAGAAAAAGCAACATGTCTTTGAACAAAACATGAACAGCACAGCATTAACTGACTCTATAGGGAGGAGGAAGTCACGGCTACAGAACACAGCAAAACCCAGCCAAATCCAAAACCTAGCAACAAAAGTACATAAAAGGCTGATGAGAGGGGCCCAGCAGTGAAATCAGCATGCGACAGCCACACTACAGGCACACGCCAGGAGCTCAACGACAAAGTCTTAATTCCCTGGACTCTGTCTCTCAAAAGGAAAAAGCAAGTTTTCTACTGTCAACAATTAAACATCCATAGAGTACATACTGTTAAATGACAGGACTCTCCCTGCATCAGATCAGCCCAAAAGAAAAAACATGACAACTGGTATCAGGAGTTGCCCACGGAAGTAACCAACTACTCCTTATTCCAGCTTCACACTAATGGTCAACATCCCAGGAGGCAACAGGTGATCACTGCTCACCACGTGAGAACTCACACAGAGCTCACAGGCTTTAGCTTTAGCCTGCTCCAGCCTGGCTCAATGCAAAAACCTGGGTAGTGAACCATTCCCACTGTCAGTCACTCTCTCTCCCTCTCTCAAGTAAGTTTTTTGTTTTTTGTTTTTTGTTTTTAAATTAAAAGCAAAAAGGTGGCTTAAATGATAATAGAGGATGTATAGATGAAGTGCAATAGCTAACACGGTTAAAACCAATTGTATTTGAAAAATGGAAAAACAGGGAAGAGAAGGAATGGATGTCATAAACATTAAACTATTTTATTCTACAAATAGTTAGCATGTATGAAATTTAAAATAAATTAGCAACAAGATAAAGAAAAAAGATATAATAAAATAGGGTGGGAATATAAAGGAGGTGATACATCAATATCTGAAACTAATAACTTGTCACTTATCTGATAACCAATTCAGCCGTTATTGTTGTGTGCTGCAACTGACTGTTCTCCAGTAAAGTTAAAATATCATATGATTTTGTAAAAGGAATAAGACAACTTTTAATTATAGACCTGGTAGTTCTCCAACTCTACAGAATACTTAAACAAATGCACAAAGTATAGCAGCAAAAGCCCTTCTACTACGATAAGAATAATTCAAACTGCCACTTAAACTATAAATCTCAGGCAGGCATTGAACACAATACTGGTAGCCAGCATAGTACTAACTGCAGGGTCAAAGTACAATATTTAAGCTAGAGATCAATGTATGACATCTAATCCATCTGCTCACAAGCTGTGAAATATTCAACTTTCATAAGAGAGTAGTTTAAATGCTTTGAGTACAAACACAACAATCATTTATAAAGTCTACTGAAACATTTAAAAAGCATAACCCAACAAAATTTACATGAGAAAAATTCACTGAGTTTCCCAAGAGGGCACTAATCACCCATAAAACTAATCACTGATCACAAAACAGAAAAGGTCATGCTATAAAGCAAGAAAATACCATTTTAAAAAATTATTTACTTTTATTTAAAAGGCAGAATCACAGAGAGGAGAAAAAGAGATATCTTCTATCTGCTGGTTCACTCCCCAAATGGCTGCAACTGCCAGAGTGGGGCCAGACTGAAGCCAGGATTCTAAACTTCCTCTAAGCTTTATACATGGTGCAGATGCCAAGGCTCTGAACTCTCCTCTGCTGCCTTATCAGGACACCAGCAAGGAACTGGACCAGGGGTGAATCCATCGGGCTTGAACCAGTGCCTGTATGGGATGCTGGCGCCACAGGCTAAAGCTTAGCCTACATGCTGCCCCCAAATAGAGAAACAAGCAAGAAGGAACAGAGGAAGCGCATTTGGTAAAATCTTGCTAACTATTGAGTATACTGTTAATTTTACTGTTCTACGTTTTTGGTATATGTTTTAACATTATTTTTATAATGCTTACATCTACATCTGGTCTTTTTAGCAAATCCTCCACTTTGGCAACATCTCCATTGGCAGCAGCCTTAACTAATTCTTCATTGAGGTCACCAGATTCTTGGGTTTCAAATAATTTCTTCAGGAGTTGTGAGAGTCTTTCTGTAAAGGATCAAATAAAGCTGTTAAAATAGGGATTTCAAACATTAACTACTAAAAGACAATTAGTACCCATATTCCTAGAATCTCTCCTAAAATTCACATCATTAATGCTATTTCTCTACTATGCTACCACTATCTAGGCGAGTCGTAATCACTATCACACCAAGGTGCATCAAATTCAATATTCAAAGCATTCCAGGTTGGTGCAGCTTCTATGGATCAGTATAGAGAACACTCAAACAGCTCAAAATCTTATACCATACAACCCAGCAATAGCACTCCTAGGAATATATCCAAAATACCTGTTACACAAGAAAACAACAGGCACCCCCATGTTCATAGCACAATCAATAATTGCAAAAACATGGAAGCAACTGAAATGACCATCAGCAGAAGACTGGATAAGAAAGCTATGGTTCATCTACTCCATGGAATACTACTCAGCTATTAAAAAAAAAAAAATGAAATGCAGTTCTTTGTGGCCAAATGGGCCCAACTGGAAACCATTATGCTAAGGGAAATGAGCCAATCCCAAAAGGTTAGATACCACATGTTTGCCTTAATTTAAGATGAAATGATATCAATCCTAAAAACAGTATCTGTAAATTGTAATATTATTACACCCTCAAACAGCCTGTATCACACAAAGATACTGTGATGTAACCAATGAGCCAATAATCAATGAGAGACAGACTGCTTATGATCTACATCAAAGAACTGAACAGCCTGATATGCTTTTAATGCCCTATATTATTCCTCAATAGGTCAGGGAGAGCAGAGAAATCTTCCACCTTCTTAAAGTGTGTGACGAAGATGTTAAGTATAACCTATCAAAATTGTAACACGTAACTTACAGACAGCAGACTTGAATCTGCATTAAACATCAGGAAAAACTACAAAGACATACAGTGGGATCCTGACAACCTCTTAACAGGAGGTCATATGCACAGAGCAGGAGGGGACCCCAGAGTGGAACAGGAGGACAGAAGGAGGCTCGTATCCTAACCCCAGAGACTCCCAGTATCTCACCAAGGACTATCAGTATGAGCACTAAGGACTACATCCCAACTGCCAAGGAGATCACAGGGAACTAGAGTGCCTTGTAGACCAAGAATTCTGAGGTCATCCACTCCCGCTTGGCTCCACCACATGGGATGGAAGAAGCCCAGAACCCTCCTCACAGGGTCTAACGACATCTGAACAAAAGCCAGGAGCCCTGAGCGGTCCTCAGAAACCAAAAAACAGTAAACTTTCTGCAGGACTCAGGAGAGGAGCTTTCTCTGGTCCTTACTTAGTTCCAACTTTGGCTCCCCACCCTCTCTTGCAATGTCCATCAGGGTCGCTCCAGAGCCCCAAAAATCAGATCAGATATAGAGAGAGAGCGCAATAAGGAAAGCTTAGAACTGACAAGAAAAAGTCAGCTTGAACCCCCATATACCTTACCAGGTAGGACACAAAGATCAGTTACTCCTCACTAAGGTATTATGAAGTGTTTAGAAAAACCTTTGGACCACAATGGTAACAAATCCTTTCATTCTTTAGCCATACAATGACTCTTACAGCTCAATACTGCAAAGATTATGATTCAGGAGTAATACAATCTCTACAACATTTGGGGATATATTTTAGAGACACATAAATTGTCACTTGGAAATTAACACCTATGGGGTGGAGCGCGACCTTGGGCCTGGGAGGTTACACTCCCCGTCGCCTCTCGGCAGCGGGTAGGTCCCAGGACAGGGCGTCTCATGCCCAGATCCCATACGCCTGCCATCATGGGCACATGGTGAACCGGGCTTGGGCAGCCAGGGCGCCATTTGGTGTCAAGCTTTGCCTGCTGGCCGCCCAGCAGGGGAGCCCTGGGATTTTGGTGGTTTGAATTGCTGCTTATGTGGCTCCATGTTGAACCCGATGTGTTTCTGCGAGGTGAATACATCCTAAAGTTTCCCAATGACAGTTACTCTTCCTTTAAAGAATGTGTTACCACTTAGCAAGGCTGACCACCAAATACCAGCTCATGCTAAAGCTGACACACTAACTGGATTAAGGCTACCGCCAAGGAGCACGTGGGCTGGAATGGGGGCTGCGTTCTGATCAGGTAACAGTGAAATCCCCCTTGGCACAAGTGTGGACTGGGACTGGACACACCAGGTTGGACCAGACCCCAGCACTGTCTGGTGCTCCTGGAGGACCAGGATAGACGTGGGACGGACTAGGCTAGGTTGCAACCCCTACTGGACCATGTGTGAGCCGTATGTGGGAATGGACTGGACGAGCCATGGCTGGGCTGAAATATCCAACAACAAGAACCAGCTTGGGTCGAAAGCTAGTCAGGAACTGAGTAGGGCTGGCTCATGGACCCACTGGCATGCGCAAAATCCGGCACTGGGAGAGGTTCTGATGGAGGAGCCTGGGCAACTCCTCTGGCAGGACACAGACCCCACGGGTAAGCGCAAGAAGCATGAATGGAAACAGCCCAGAGCAGGCCACAAGAAGTTTCCCACTGGCATACATTAGGCATGGATTGGGGGCCGACCAGGCTAATCAGTTAACGTCATCACTGGCAAATCCGAGCACCAGAACAGAGTAAGGGTTGAGCCTGGTTTGGTTGCGATAAAAACCAGTCCACAATACAGAATGCCAAGGTGAGGTTGTCTGTACCGGATGTGACTGCAGTGCCCAACCAGCACACATGAGAACCAGGAAGGGAGGGGACAGAGCCAGCTGGGGAACAAGGGGTGGTTCCCCTGCTGGACAGCTACTCCCACTGGAGAGCATGAACTGGGATGGGGACAGACCAGACTAAGCAGGGCTACAACACCTGTGTGGACTAGATCAGGGAAAAGCCAGGCTGGACTGATTATTCCTATGGCTGCAACCTACAATTAGAATGGGAGAGGGCTGTTTGGGCATAGCCGTAGCACCAGCTGGCAGAAACTGGCGCTGGGGGCTAATCCTGTCAAGTTAAACTGCAGAACCACCTGGAAAGTGCACAATCCGGGAGTGACAGACCTGGGAGGGAAATAGTGGGTTCCCCCCTCTTGGGTTACCACTCCCATGAGAGGGCACGAGAACTAGGACGGAGGCTGTGGTAGCTAGACAGAGAGGCACTCAACCACACCCATGAAGGCTTGACTGTTGAGCTGGTTAGATGGATCCAAGCTTCAATGCCATTTGCCATGTACGAGAGCCAGGGGGGATGTGGGACAGATTGGACTGGTCTGCCACACATATTGGCAAACCAGGATAGGGGGTGGGCCTGGTGGGGGTTATTGTGGGCCGCTCTCATCAGGATATAGCTCCCACTGGTTTCGGTGAAGACCGAGTATGTGCTGTGCAGAACAAGGCTGGACTGCAACACCCATTGGTTCCAGTAGAAGGCGGGGCTGAAAACAGAACCAACCCAGCAACTGCAACTACCAGCTGACCGGGTGATGGACTGTGCTGGGCCCTGTGCTTGCTGGTGCATACAAGTATCTGGCCTGGGAACACCTCAGACGAAGTTTCTTTGGTGATCTGCCCAATTGAAATGCCAGACTCAGAACACAAACCATGAAGGGACAGAAGATGGAACAAGTTAATCAACCACCTCAGCAACAAAATACCGGGCAAATAGAGACGCTATGATGGACAATGTCAATTAATGGATTTTTCAACAACCTCATCGTGTTTGGAGAGGCAAGATTGGCAGCAATTTCAAAACTGGTGACCTATTGAAACCACTTCAACGAGCATCTCAGAGCATGCCCCACATGTGGGACTTGGGATGGGTGGGAAACCGGGTGGGGCTTCTCCCTCAATATCCCCCTCTACCTCAGATATATGAAGGAAACAATATGGAAATAATAGTCTTACCCACTTTCCTCTAGCCCTTGACCCTTTTTGCCCAAATTAACTATGTAAAGATTGACAAAATAAAAACAATTATTATTAAAAAAAAAAAAAAGAAAGAAAGAAAATTAGCACCTAAACGCTAACAACACACTTCAATTAAATTCCAAGTAAGATAAAACCTGGGATGAATACATAGATCCATTCATAAAATTTATTTTCTAAATACTATCAATATCAAAGCTATTACATTCTACTCTTAATTCTGGGAATACTTATTGAAAAGAAGAGAAGTCACAAAGTAGGCCAAGTCTGCATTATTTGAGAGTAGGATAATAACCATGCGTCAGCCTTACTTTTATGTAGCCTATCATAACATCATATAACATTAAAATATACATAAACACTGGTTTAAATTTTACGCACACTAGCAAATTACAGCAGTAAAGAGGAGAAAAAAATAGGAAAACAAAAATCAACACAAAAATGCAACCGAAGCTCACACTAGTGATTTCCTTTGGGCTGTCAGCTACCCTGATGGTGCAGTCCCCTTCGCTGGAAGGCTGCAACGTGTCCACACAAAGGAGTTGGCAGAGGTGTGTGTAGAGGAAACAGAACACTGACTCTGAGGAGTGTACCCAAGTTCCAGGCACACTGGCATTTTCACATGGTTTTTCCCCTAACTACGGTATGTATGGCAGCTCTTACTAAACTAAAAACAATTTAACACAGTGATGATTCTTTGGCAGAAAACAAAAGTTTTGAGCAAAAGCAGAATATTCAAACTTCGGCATGTCAGACTGAATGCAGGGAAGCCTTGGAAACGTCCAAGAAACAGCATTGATTGATGGAACTTTTATAATGCCTCAGTCAAAATCAAGGTTGCCTGTCTGCCACATTCAAAAAAGGAAAAGAAATATCTTTTGGCAAAGTTGAAAAGATCTTCAACATTCAAGCGAGGTTCTATAACCCAGGAGACAGTCAAGTAAATATACAACATTATCCACAAATGAGAACTGTGGAATCACTGCAAAGGTTCTAATGTCGACCAGAGCACTTTGAAAGAAATGCGATTACGAAACATACCACCAGATGCATTGCTAATGGCTGATCCTGCAGAGGCCACCTTGGAAACTGCTGCTGGGTTGTAAGTCCAAGATGTTCCACAAACTTCCACCTTTAAATCACTGTCTGAATAAATCTGCTGTACTCGGCCAACTTTACCTAAAGTCTTAAAACAGGAAAAAAAATTTATATTTTTAAATCTAAAGTTTATACTATAAAATCAATCACCAGTTTTTGTACATTTGAAGTACAAATTTTACTTGTTACTAATAAACTTTTAAAGATAGGCATATTCAAATGAGTTATTTAGTATTTACATAAGCAGAGTAACAGAGAGAGAAGAGGAGAGACATCTTCCACCTGCTGGTTAAATCCTTAACTGGCTGCAATGGCCAGAACTGGGCTGACTGGAAGCAAGCAACAATTAGCTTCCTCTGGGTCTTCCATGTGAATGCAGGGACCCAAGTGCTTGAGCCATCTTCCACTGTTTTCCCAGGCCTTCTGCAGAGTTGGATCAAGAGTGGAAAAGCCTAGACTCAAACAGGCTCCCATGGAAGATGCCGGCATTGTAGGCAGAAGCTTAACTAGAAATGCAACGGTACTAGCCCCTTATTGAAAGTTTTATCAAGAATAAAACTCTGCCTATGGCCGCAATCATATCCTAGATACTAGCCCACCAATTCAACTGCGATGTTCTATGTTTAAATTAAGGATGCCACACCACCACCTATTAGAATACTGTACGCACATGTGCATACATGAATGGTGCACAAATAACAAAATGAAAACACTACAACACAGATTCTTCTGCTTTGATCATGACTACATCCCTGAAGCTTTACAGGTTCAAGATGAGGGACTGGTGCAGGCACAGGGCAACAAGGACAAGGAGGAGAGGCAAAACAAAATGAGAATGGAATAACTAGGGCAAAAGTTGGGCTTGGACAAAAAGAAAAGCAAGTGCTAACCAGGACAGAGGGAAGAGCCAACACAGCAGGGCAGAATTCGTGGACAAGGAGAGGAGAGGAAGCACGCAAGACAACATAGCATGGCAGCACTCCATGACTTCTGAATGAGGGCACAACCAGACTGAGTGAGACAAGGAGGGAAAAGGGCAAAAAGGAGGGCTGGATGGGGCACAGAACAAGACAACACGGTGGATAACAGAATGAAATAAAGTAGTACAGAAAGGGTCAGAGGTGACACATGAAGAGGTCTTGGAATTCCTCCACAGTCAGAGACCTGGCCTAGGAATGGAGGTTGGCACTAGTGAGAGCAGGTCTCCTAGACACCTGGGCTATGTGTTGCAGGAAGGCATGGTCAGGAATCAGATGCCCTCAAGAGGATCAAAGGGTTCAGGTCCTTGTTGAGCCCTCTGAGTATTCCCCCACTAGGGTTACTGGGCCTGCCAAGAGGTCTTGGAGCTCAGGAGCCCTAAATGAATGCATGGAATCAATCAATTCAAAGTGGCTCTACAGCTCTTTGGCAACAAAATTTCCTCAGAAGTTACACACTCTGATCTGCTCTTATATACTCTGAGGTCATAGACACGCGGGTCCCCAAAGCAGTAAAGTCCCAGTTGCCCAGCACCGCTGGAAACTGGAACAGCACAGCCTACCCGATTCTGAGGTTGACTATCAGGAAATCTTTCACTGCCAGAGAACATAATCTTATTCCGCTCTAACAGTTCTATCAAAACACACAAACATCAGCCTTTTCTGAACTTCTCCAGACTAAATAAACTGAACTAAACTGGAAAACAAAAGTTACAAGTTACACACCAGCTTGCCTTTCAGAGTATAATTCTAAGAGGTTTCAGGCTGGAGTCTGTTGTGGTATGGCAAGTAAAGCCACCACCTGCCATGAGGGCATCTGGTGTGGGGGCCAGTTCAAAGTCCAGATCACTCCACTTTTGGTCCAGCTTCCTGCTAAGGTGCCTGGGACAGCAGTGGAGGATGGATGGCCCAAGCTCTTGGCTCCCAGTTTCAGCCTGGCCCAACTCCAGGTGCTGAGCCATTTGGGAACTGAACCACCAGACAGAAGATCTCCTCTGTCTCCCTTGCCTCAGCAACTCTACCTTTCAAATAAAAAAAAAATTAATTAAAAAAATAAGATTCATGTAAATTTAGTTTCTAAAATGAATTCACTTTTAAAACAATGTAAGCAGGGTAAGGCACAATGGCTAAACCCTTACCTTGCAAGCACCAGGAAACCGTATGCACACCAGTTCGTGTCCCAAATATTCTACTTTCATCCAGCTCCCTACTTATGGTCTGGGAAAGTAGTAAAGGATAGCAAAAAGCCATGGGCCCTGCACTCCCACGGGAAACACAGAGGAAGCTCCTGGCTTCTGCAGACATTTAGGTAGTAAACCAGTGGATGGAAGATCTTTCTCTCCGTCTCTCCTTCTCTACATAAACCTGATCTGCTTTTCCAATAAAAATACATAAATCTTTAAAATTTAAAAACCATAAAAGCAAAATGCAATTCCTAAACACAAACTAACTTTTTTAAGGATTTATCTCTTTTTATTTGAAAGGTAAATTTACAGAAAGAAGCAAAGACAAAGATCTATCACCTGCTGGTTCACTACCCAAATAGCAGCAATGGCTGGGAATGGATCAGGCCAAGGCCAGGACCTTCTTCTGGGTGGCTTTGTGTAAATACAGCGACCCAAGGACCTGGGCCATCCTCCACTGCTTCCCCAGGCACACTAGAAGAGAGCTAGACTGGAAGTGGAGTAGCTGGGACTCCAACTAGAGTCCATAACAGATGTTGGCATTGCAAGCAGAAGTGTTAAAACCTACTCTATAATCATACTGGCCTCCAACTACATTTTATAAACTTACTGGAAGCATCGCTTCAGCCCATTCGCCATGTCCTCTTTGTAGAAGTTTAATTCTTTCCAGATCATAACAAACTTGCACAAGGTCACCCACTTGAAACTGCGAGGGACCCCCTTCTGCACCCTGAGCAGCATCTCCACTTCGGACAATGTTTGCTTTAGTGAGAACAGCAGGATTAAAAGTCCATCTGGAAAAGCAAAGACAAAATGGAAAAAGGGAAAAGCTTACTACATTTTAACACAACATTCTTCTTAAGTTTTTGATTTTTTAATTTTTATAATACAAAGTTCTTAAACACTGCAAAGACAAAAATCTTAGATGGAAATCCTTCATGATACTGTGAATGATTTGTATTTCTTTTTTATGACTATTACACAATTTTGGGAGCCAAGTCATATATGCTAATACTTTAAAATACTGTTTAATTTATTATCCCAGGCATTTTTCAAATGTTATAAAAATAATATTAAATCATTAGAAATTCGATCAGAAACACAAAAGTAAAAATGAAAATCCTAATTTTATACAAAAATTCCAGATCACCTTTACTAGAAACTCATTAGGAATACTCTACATGACAAGCGTCTCCCATGGGATCCACCTATAGGCCAGAGAGCTGCAGGGCCTACGAGCACGGGGTCAAGCAAGGGCTCTGAAGGCTGCACTAAGAGTGGTACTCTCCTATAGCCAAAGAGCCCCAATGCCAGGGGCCCAGCTGCTGTGGCTCCAAGCACACTGAGCGTGCCTCAATGCCATGGTGACTCTTCCCTATCCACAAGCTATTCCCACTAGGCAAAGAGGGTTGGTCACTGTGTACAGCCTCAAGGGACTCAACAAGACTGAGGCTCTGACCAGGGATCTGGGCGTGTGCTACACATCTGCAAGGACTGTCTCTGTAGGACCAGTAACCCTGGTAGGGGAATGCTCAGAGGGCCCAACAAGGACCTAAAACCCTTTATCTCGTTGAGGGCAGCTGATTCCTGACCAGCCCTCCATGCAGGGCTTGGCCCAAATGCATGGGAGATCTTACCCTCACTAATGTCAACCTCAGTTCCTAGGCAAGTTCTCTGAACAGGCATGTATTCCTAGATTTTTAGCCTCATGTGTAGCCACCGGTCACTGATGGAAGACCAACTGGGGAAGCCCAGAGCCCTGAATGTTGCCTTGTCTCATCTGTGGTTGGCTTATCTGTGCCTACAAAGTTTGGCATTATAGTCCAAGCTGTGCCCCAGAACACACTACAGCTATCCTCCAAAAGATTACCGGCTGTTCCCTTCACATGGGTCATGCTTGTGACACTCAGGAGAGCAAATGCAGGGACCAGTACTAGAGATCATGTGTGTGTACAGGTTTGGTGAGGCCCCGTGGACCGAGGCCACAGGAACTATGTCACTAGGCTCATCTTTAGCAGCAGGGCCTTCCTGAACATTCTGCACCTGCTGCAGAAACTACTGCTTTTGCTTCTCACAAGGGAATAAGGGTCTATTTACCATCTATACTCTTCAGTATTAGCTAAAAACTGAATAGAAAAGTTAGAGCATTCCTAGGGTCCCCTTCTTAACAGTTTCTTTCCCTCTTCTAAGTAAATTAGTTAATCAGATGTATATAACCTTTAAGACACGTGCTTATGGCAATCTTTTGCTTGATTCATATTTATACAAAGTCTTTAAAATACTATTATTGGGCATGGGCATTTGAACTTTGTCTTTAGTATTTAAAAATGCTATTAAAAAATACTCCATTGACTGGAGTGATAACTCATTTGGCTAATTTTGCACCAGTCTGTGGCCCAGATACTCCATTTCCCATCCAGCCCCAGCTTTTAGCCTGGGAAAGCAGCATAAGACAAATCAAGGCCTTAGCACCTTGGGTTCATGTGGGAAACCTAGAAGAAGCTCCTGCCTCTTGGCAGCAGATCAGCTAAGCTCAGGCTCTCAAGGACATTTGGGGACTAGTAGCTGGAAGCTCTTTCACTCTGTACAGAGATCTTCTTTCTATAAATCTGCCTTTCAGAATGAAATAAATAAACCTTAAGAAGGATAATACTCAATTGTGTATCATTACAGATCTTTTTTTTGTTTGTTTTCTCTTGGTACCACAGATCTTCTATCAACAGTACAATTAATAGAATTAAAGGAGACTTGCTTTCCTCATAAAATAGGCAACTTTTTTTCTCACACAATGCATGGCATATGATTTTTCCATTTCACAAATAAATAGGTATGTCATGAAATTTAACAGTAACCAAGTATCCCAGCCCACAGTCTGTCTAGAAGACATACTAGTGTTCTTAGCCATTCTCCTACTATCACTTATGCCCTTCCAAGTTTTCACTAGCATGTCTGATAATCTAAAGAACATCCCTATATATGCACCTGTACACAGAATTCCACTTGATTCTTATATATGCATCTACACTTAAAATAAGTATTCCACTCAACTCTTCAAAGAACTACTTGATTCAAGATGTGTTTCTTGCTGGCGTTTCTTTAGAAAGTTCAGTCACCACCTACATCCCATACAAGTGTTTGATTCCACGCTACTCCACTTCCACCTAAGCACCTTGTTAATGCAGCACCAGGGAGAGCAGCAGCAGGTGATCCAAGTGCTCAGGGCACTGCATTCATGTGGGAACTCGCAGCTGGCATTCTAGGCCCCTGGCTTCCACCTGACTCAGTCCTGGTCATGGTAGTCATTTGGAGAGTGAACCACAGCAAGAAGGTATCTTTATCTATCTCTTCCTCTGGCTCTTCAACTCTACCTTTCAAATAAATGTTTTCTTTTTTTCCACAATTGGTTTATAAAACAGAGCCAATTTCTCTATTTAAAAAAAGTATCCCTTATCACTGCCAATCTCATATATCAAATGGTGTCTAGTTTTAAAGTGCCATACATCCAATATTTTATATAGTTTTTCATCACTGTATCAAAATAAAGTTTAATTCTGATTCCTTTAATAAACATGCTTCCATCTGTTACTATCATCCTAAGCACCATATTAATAACTATTAAATTCTCAAACAGCTTCATTCTAGACTGATTGCCAAAAGTCTTAAAAACAAAAAAAGTCTCTCAAGTTAAAAACTAAAATTCAATATAAAATATCTTATCAATCATTCAATACTCATTCTCAATCTGCAGAATTCCCCAGCCTTACTTTGATGTCTGAATAGCAACACTGACTCAAGTTGCCTTCTCTGCCGAGAGGACTCCTCTGGGCTGGAACAGCCCGATCACCCTATAAACTACTGCAAGAATTCTTTCCAAACTTTAAAATGAACATTCAAATTTTAAAAGTTAGAAAAATGTACAAGATAAATCTTAAATGTTTTCCCTACATGGAAATATTAAATGCTTGAATATATTTATTCTAAATGACTGAACATTACACAAGTAACCAAAACAATATTAGCATAACAAAATATATTATAAGTACCCCATAAATATGCACATTTTATATATCTTTTAAAATTTCTAATTACAAATAAAAATTGTGAGTTGCTCTTCTCTTAGACCTGTAGGATACTGAATTGTGACTTACTGCATTACTTCTAACATTGTATTGCAGTCAGAATACAAATGCTCTTCTACACTGCTGATAAGGAATCACATGTTGTATACACTTTAGCACAAGGTAGAGTTGTGTGATCAAGAATTACCCTGGAGGGCCTGGCGCAGTAGCCTAGCAGTTCAAGTCCTGGCCTTGAATGCACCAGGATCCCATATAGCCGCAAGTTCTAATCCTGGCCACCCAGCTTCCCATCCAGCTCCCTGCCTGTGGCCAGGGAAAGCAGTTGAGGATGGCCTAAAGCTTTGTGATCCTTCACCCACGTGGGAGACCCGGAAGAGGCCCCTGGCTCCTGATTTTGGGCTGGTGCAGCTCCAGCTGTTGCAGCCACTTGGGGAGTGAATCCGAGATCAGACGAGACTAGGCGCATTCAGGGTGGTATGGCCATAGACTGGGGAGTGAATCAATTGGCAGAAGATCTTCCTCTCTGTCTCTCCTCTCTGTATATCTGACTTTGCAATAAAAATAAATAAATCTTTAAAAAATAAAATGATGGGCCCGGCGCGGTGGCGCAAGTGGTTAAAGGTCCTCGCCTTGCACGCCCGGGATCCCATATGGGCGCCGGTTCTAATCCCGGCAGCCCCGCTTCCCTTCCAGCTCCCTGCCTGTGGCCTGGGAAGGCAGTCGAGGACGGCCCAAAGCTTTGAGACCGTGCACCCGCATGGGAGACCCGGAAGAGGCTCCTGGCTTCGGACTGGCATAGCATCGGCCATTGCGCTCACTTGGGGAGTGAATCATCAGATGGAAGATCTTCCTCTCTGTCTCTCCTCTCTGTATATCTGCCTTTCCAATAAAAATAAAATGGAAAAAAAAAAAGATTCATTTTATTTTATTTTATTTTTTTAAAGATTTATTTTTATTATTATTATTATTTTTTATTTAGGCCCCATGCCGGGCCTAAAATAAATCTTAAAAAAACAACTTACCCTGGAGACAAGGCAAGAGGAGCTCTCATGTTTGTGGTAGGCTGATCTGTTCTACTTGCAAACAACAAATAAAATAGGTACAGAATACTGTACCATAAATACTCACATAAATTTATATATACACAAAACATGGAATTCTTACTATTGTTTCCTTTCCACCTTATCAAAATACTTAAGATTTTTATGAACTAAGAGCTAGCTTTAATTAATCTTTAGCAACAGCCAATTATTCGCTTGCTTTATAACTCTGCCATTATCAGAAGAACTATCACTCACCTATTGCCACTTGGATACTGCACCACAATGTCATGATCTTCATCAATACCACAAACAGTTCCAGTTGTAGTCAAAGTCTCAAACATTCCATCGGTCCACCCTCCATGACCATGCTGCAAAGACTGCACAATTTCTAGGTCAAGATCTATGTTCACCAGGTCTCCAATCTGCAATCCACCAGGATTTCTGTTGCCATTCTGCTCACCTGCATTTTCAAGGAAAACAGAAAGCAAGAAAAGAGAAGAGTATCAGCTAAATATTTTAGGCATCATATAATAAAAACTTCTTTAAGATTTCACTCACTCTATGAGATTCTAGAACTCAGTTAAAAAAAAAATAACTTCAAACTTGAAAACCTTTCATAAAATAACATGATAATTTATAACAAAAACTGAGCAGAATCTAATCTACAAAAGCCTACTGAAACCTATTTAAGGAAAATGTCTGGGTGGTAAAAATCTTCATTTTTCTGTCTGGATAAGTTCTTAACTAACACTACATAACAATCACAAAAGCTAACCTGGATGGAGCCGATTGACTAGGCATAGCAAATTAAGCCACTGCCTGGGGCACAAATATCGCATATGGGAGTGCCACTTCAAGTCCCAGATATTCTGCTTTTGATCTAGCTTCCTGCTAATACACCTCAGAAGGCAGCAGATAATAGCCCAAGTGCATAAGTTCCTGCCGCTCATATGGGAGACCTGGAGGAAGTTCTACCTTCCTGGCTGAATCCCAGATAATCCTGGCCACTGGGGTCATTTAGAGTGAAGCCGCAGGATAGAGAATAAATGGAATATATTCATTCTTTCTTATTTTCTCTCTTCGTCTCTCTCTCTCTCTCTCTATCATTCTGCCTTTCACTAAGTCAAGAAGTTAAAAAAATTTATTTTTTTAACTGAAGTAAAACAATTAAAATTTTTTTGTTTTTTGCTTAAAGAGTACTTCTTAACTATTTAAAAGACCCTTCCTTGTATTATTTTCAGAAACTCTTCCCAAACTATGATTCATGATCACCAAACACTATGCTGAAGGACCGAAACTACACACAGTGATTCCACATTATTCTCAAAAATGTAAATCACAGAACAAAGTTTCTGAAAGCAAAAGAAATGACTGATGTCATCAGAAAAGTTTTTCTTCCTATATTCCCCTTTTCTTAAGAAAAAAGCTGCAACAAAATTGTGTTTTACCAAAACAAACAAAATAAGTAATCTGAAGAGTGCAAAACACAAAGTACGTGAGAAACCATCTAGAAACGAAATACTTAAACAGAAGACTGAGAAATGTTCATCCCAGCAACAATAACTATTAAAATGAGGTTAATACTGTTCAAGTTTTCTTCTAATGACATGTGAAATTATATTTTCCCTTAAATTGAGCTATTTTGTCATACAAAGATAATTTTATAGAAACTGAAAGCAACTTCCAGAATTACTAACTTGTCAAATTCTACTCTAAAGACAATAAAAACATAAAAGCTGATGTAATGTACTACAAATTTTTTCAATGATGTTTAAGTTGATAGTTATAAAAATAGTTTCAATTATATATTATAGCTTAAATTGCACATACTTCTCAGGATTTAATAACTCCTTCTGATCCTAAATAAAAAACAAAAAACAGTTTATAACCAAGAGAAATATTTCTCCAAGTAAATTTGATGGCGATAAATTTCAAAAATACAATTGAGACATAATTATTCTCAGTCATCATTCAAAAATTCTCTTTCATTTGGACACTCACCAAGCACAGGGCAATGATCTCTGTAGAAAGAACCTCCTTTGGCATCCTGGACACACTTCAGGTCAGACTAAGAAAAGAAACCAGAAAAATTATCCATAAAAAACTTGAAATACAGGGCAATATCTGCAAGAAGCATAAATGTTGATTCAGACACACCCAAAACATAGCCAAGAGTAGCTCTGAGTTAACAATCACATGAAGTATGGCTTTCAAAAGTACACGTCAAAAACTATAAATCTGGTCTTTAGCTAAATCATATTGTAGTTACCTTAAGCTTTCTTTAAAATTCGGAATGAAAATATCTGAATCTTTAACATTACACTATTTGCAAAAAGATACTTTAAAAAAGAACTACAGGGCCCAGCACCATGTACTGGTTAATCTTCCCCATGCTATTAGCGTGCTGGTTCGTGTCCCAGCTGTTCCAATTCACATCCAGCTCCTTGCGTAAGGCCTGGAAAAGCAGTGGAGAAAGGCTCAAAGCTCTGGGCACCGTATCCGTGTGGGAGACCCAGAAGATGCCCCTGCCTCCTGCAGATGCTCAGCTCTGGCCACTGTGGCCATCTGAGAAATAAACCAGCAGATAGAAAATGTTTCTGTCTCTCCTCCTCTCTGTAAATCTGCCTTTCCAATAAAAATAAATAAATCTAAACAAACAAACAATAAACTACAACAAACGCTAGGTACCTAGGTACTATGGGCATAATTCCTCCACTTAAAAACCATTTTTAGGGCACGGCGCGGTGGCGCAAGTGGTTAAAGGTCCTCGCCTTGAACACGCCGGGATCCCATATGGGCGCCGGTTCTAATCCCGGCAGCCCCGCTTCACTTCCAGCTCCCTGCCTGTGGCCCAGGAAAGCAGCAGAGGACGGCCCAAAGCTTTGGGAACCTGCACCCGCGTGGGAGACCCAGAAGAGGCTCCTGGCTTCAGATCGGCATAGTATCGGCCATTGCGCTCACTTGGGGAGTGAATCATCAGACGGAAGATCTTCCTCTCTGTCTCTCCTCTCTGTATATCCGCCTTTCAAATGAAAAAATAATAAAAATAAATCTTTAAAAAAAAAACCATTTTTACCAAAAAATATAAAAAGCTCAACTTCTTTTATCTCTCAATTAGAAGAGACAAGTATAAGGCCCAAAACCGTGGCCTAGTGGCCAACGTTCTCGCCTTGAACATGCCGGGATTCCATATGATGCTGATCCTAATCCTGGCAGCCCTGCTTCCCGTCCAGCTCCCTGTTTGTGGCCTGGGAAAGCAGCTGAGGATGGCCCAAAGCCTTGGGACCCTGCACCCATGTGTGAGACTCGAAGACAGTCCTGGCTCCTGGCTTTGATTGGCGCAGCACCAGCCATTGTGGTCATTTAGGGAGTGAATCATCGGATGAATGGTCTTCCTCTCTGTCTCTCCTCCTCTCTGTATATATCTGACCTTTCAATAAAAATAAATAAATCTTTAAAACAAAAAAAAGACAAGTATAAAAAAATTAACTTATTTTGTATAAAAGAAAAATAAAAGCAATGAAAGGAAACTGACCAACACTAAACAGTTAAAAGTGAAAAGGCCGGAACCAAATTCAGTCTTTTGACTCCTTGTTAAATTTCCTAATTATATCAACTTTGGGCCTTATTTAACCTAAAGTTAGTTAACCGAAGTTCTTCTCTGCTTACCTTTTATAAAACAATAAATTAGTACTTATGTATCTGAAGGGGAAGCAGTTGCACTACAACAAAGCAGCACAAGAAAGATGGACTCAGAAGAACAATCTAGGGTGTCATCGTGAATATTTAAAGCATTACTTACACGTGACTAATAATTCTCAGCATATCTGGTAGCTGATCACTAGATTTTTTTTTTTGCTAAGACTTTTTTTTTTTAATGGGAAAGGCAGATTTACAGACAGACAAAGTGAAAAATCTCCCATCTACTGTTCTCTCAATGGCTTTGGACCGGCTCAGCTCCTGCCATTACAGATTTCGGTCTCTTCCACTTCCTTGTCTATCTTTCCTTTTCTCTCTCAGTAACTCTAACCTCCAAATAAGTAAAGAAATATTTTTTAAGAAAAAGAAAAATATGGGGCCTGGCGCAGTAGCCTAGTGGTGAGTCAACTCCTCGTCTTGTACACACCAGGATCCCATATGGGTGCCAGCTCTAATCCCGGCAGCTCCACTTCCCATCCAGCTCCCTGCTTGTGGCCTGGGAAAGCAGCCAAGGATGGCCCGAAGCCTTAGGACCCTGCATCCGCGTGGGAGACTGGAGGAGGCTCCTAGCTCCTGGCTTTAGAACTAAGGCTCAGCTCCAGCCACTGTGGCCATTTGGGAAGTGAATCATCGGATGGAAGATCTTCCTCTCTGTCTTTCCTCTTCTCTGTATACATGACTTTCCAATAAAAAAATGTTTTAAAAAGGAAAAGGAAAATCTGCCAATAATGTGCAAAGGCATATATCCACAGAGATGTTTATGAACATATTCGCTGTAGGGGTAGTCAGGGGGCAGTAAGCAGGATGGGGATACTCTGCTATGCCCCACAGAAATCTAGTTAAATACATAACACTATCACCCTAGAAAGGAGTACTGCTGGGCATCAATTTATATAGACTAAACAGTTCAGTATCAGAGTACAGAGAGCACACAAGCCTTCATTGGAAGTAAATTAATCATTAAATGTTACAAAAATTCACAATGTACAGGCCAGTACAATGGCTCAATGGCTAAATCCCTGCTTTTCACACACTGGGATCCCATAACAGCGCTAGTTCACATCCTGTCTGCTCTAATTATCTTCCATCTTCCTGTCTGTGACCCAGTAGGACAGCAGAAGATGGCCTAAGACCTTGGGACCATACACTCACACAGGAGACCCAGAGGAAGCTCCTGGCTCCTGGTTTCGGCTATCTGAGGAGTTAACTCTCTGTCTCTCCTTCTCTCTGTAAATCTGATATTCCAATAAAAACAAATACATCTTTTTTTAAAAGTTAAAAAAACAAAAAAGATAGTTTTAATCCCGTTGCCTGACAGCCCTCCTAGGGAAAGCAGCAGAGGATGGCCCAAATACTAGGGCCCCTGCACTCAGATGGAAAACCCAGACGAAGCTCATGATTTCAGCCTGGCCCAACCCTAACCAATACGGTTGCTGGTGCGATGAAATAAGACATATTACCTCTCTATCACATACACAAACATACATTCTAACTTTTAAATAAATAAGTCTTTACAAAAACAAAAATCAAAACTGAAGACAGGGAAGCAAAATTATACAAGGTGTTTAATTGAGCAGTCACCGGTTAAGATGTTGATATCACAAGACAGCGTGTCTGAGATCACGGACATAATATGAAAAGGCTGAACTGGACTTCCCAGCAGGGACAGGGCCATTTGTCTCAAACACCTCCCACAGAAGCATGATAAGCAACTTAGCAACCAGGAGACTTGGAAATAAGCAGCTTTTATCAATTCAAAATCAGAAGGTGAATACTTAACAGGATGCCACCATAGCATGGCAATTTTTAGAAAGAAATGAGAAGGCATTACAAGACATTGAATGTTTACTTAAGTTTTTAAAAGTTGTTTTACGTATCAAGGCATACTGAATTCTAGTATGCTCAAAACAGTAACTCATGGCAATAAATCTTAATTGACTAAAAAAAAAAAGTTGATATCCCAAAACAGAGACTGTGTCAGTGCCCCAGTCCCACTCCTAAATCTAACTTCCTTTTTTTGTTTGTTTGTTTTTAAAGATCTATTTTTATTGCAAAGTCAGATATACAGAGAGAAGGAGAGACAGAGAGGAAGATCTTCCATCCGATGATTCACTCCCCAAGTGACCACAATGACTGGTGCTGTGCCGATCCGAAACTATGAACCAGGAGCCAGGAACTTCTTCCAGGTCTCTCACACGGGTGCAGGGTCCCAAGGCTTTGGGCCGTCCTCGACTGCTTTCCCAGGCCACAAACAGGGAGCTGGAAGGGAAGCAGGGCTGCCTGGGTTAGAGCCAGCGCCCATATGGGATCCCGGCGTGTTCAAGGCAAGGACTTCAGCCACTGGGCTATCATGCTGGGCCCTCTAGCTTCCTTCTAAATACAGACACTGGGGGGTATCTCAAATGATCGGGGTTCCTGCCTCACAAATGGAAGACGGTGACTGTGCTCCTGGCTAGGGCCCAGCAAAACCACTGTAAGTGCATGGAGAGTAAGTCAGCAGAAAATCTGTCTCTTGTTTTGCCACTCAATAAAGAAATGAAAATTTTGGAAAACAGGGAAAACAAAGATAATGAAAAACTGACAACTTAGAATGATAAAAGTTGGCAAGTTTAAGGGACTGAAGCAATGGCTGAACCGGCAGAACCTCTGCTTAGGAGCCCTGGCATCACACAAGGGTGCCAGTTCACATCTTGACTGCTCAACTTTCCAGTCGTCTCCCTTCTTAAGGCCTGGAAAAGCAGCAGTCTTGAACAGTCCCGAGCCTCGGACTGACTCAGCTCCAGCCATTGTGGCCATCTGGGAAGTCAACCAGAGGATGAAAGGTCTTTGTCTCTTTGTGTCTCTGCAAATCTGACATTCCAAGAAAAATAAATAAATCTTTTTCATTTTTGCTTAAATTCACATAGCTACACTGTACATAAAGATGATAGTAGGACATTTTCTAATTTCCTCATGAAGGACACAGGGAACTGAGAAAAAACATAAAATTTTAAAAATCCTTTGAATTATGCTCAAGGTTGAATTATTATGAAAAAAAAAACATTTTGGCAATGACTAAGCTTGTAAGTAAAATAAAATTAGCAAGGCCAATGCTCAAACAATGGTCCATGAAATGCCAAAATACAAAGCGATCCATTGAATACATCTCCATTATTCTCAGAACACTCAAAAACTTGTAGTTGTTTCTACATCAATCATCCTCCGTGATCCACAAGGGGAAAAAAAAAAAACACCACTTGTGATACCTACATCCCATATCAGAGTATGTTTTTTGAGTCCCAAACCTGCACCCGATTCCCACTTCCTGTTAATGTGCACATCCAAAGTAGTTAGATGATAACTGAAGTATCTGTGTCCCTGCTTGCACATGGGAAACTCAGATTGAGCCTGACCCTGCTCCAGCTGTGACTACTTGGGAAGTGAATCATCAGATGGAAGATCTCCATCTCTTTCCATAAATAATATCTTTCAAATAAATAAACTCTAAAACATTTTTGAAAGAAAAAAAAACAAATATCAAGGCCAACAGAATGGCAAAATAAGCTAATCCTCTTGCTCTGGCATCCCAAATGTGCACTTCTTTGAGTCCCACTTACTCCCCTTCCAATCCAGCTCCTTGCTTTTGATCTGGAAAAGCATCAGATGTCTCAATTCTTGGGCCCAGCCCCTTTATCCATGTAGGAGACCCAGAAAGAAACTCCTGCTTCAGGTTTTTTAACTGGCTCAGCTCCAGCCATTATGACCACTTGTTAATTAAAGACCTCTCTCATGGGGCTAGAGATAATCTGACACAGCAATTGCAACCGTCGGTGCAATTGTACCATATCAGTAGGCTAATGTGAGTGACAGAAAGAGCCAGACCCCATACTGGTAGGCGCACACACGAGTCAGGTCTGGGATCACCTCAGACAAGATTTTTTTGAGAGCCTCCCCCACTGAACTGCTAGACTCAGAACTCCAACCATGGGGAGAATGGCACGACCTGTGATCTGACAGTGGAGTGCATGTGTCTGAACAGGGCCACCTCAGTTACTGAAGATTGGGCAGTGGACAGTATAACCAGATGCCAATGGAGGAATAGGCAATCCATCGGAGCCTGCAGAGGACATCTGGTACCAAAGCAGAAGAAGGAGGGCAAAACGAATCGGTCAGCTACCCCCAGAGAAGGCTGAAAGCAAATTTCTGAGCAAATGGAAATTCTGTAGTGGACAGTGTGAGCCAACGAACCTTGGAAGGATTTCCTCATCCTTGGTTCTGCAAGTTGGACAGCATGTCAAAACTATCAAAACCACCTGAACAGAAGCCTCAGAACATGCTCCACATCGGGGACCCTGGGATGACATCAGGTGGCCATTCTCTATCCCTGGGTACTTGGGCAGTTGGAAGGTTGGTTGTGGCTTCTGCTCTTGTCTTCCCTCTCCCCCCAAGATACAGAAGTAAGGAAGGTATAGAAATAATGAACTCACCCACTTTTCCCTGATCGTCGACCCTTCCCACCCTAATCAACTGTGTAAACATCATCAAAAATAAAACTTAAAAACAAAAGATCTCTGTGTCTCTCCTCTCCCTAGCTAAAAAATCTGCCTTTCAAACAAAAATAAAACAATCTCTAAAGGGCCAAGAAAATGGCTCTACAGGTTCATTCTTTGTCAGCCATTGGCCTTAGTTTGTGTCCTAGCTGTCCCACTTTTGATCCAGCTCCCTGCTAATGGCCTGGGAAAGTAGCAGAGCATGGCTCATTTTTTAAGACCCTATACCCATATGAGTGATTTGAAGGAAGTTCCTGGCTCCTTGCTGTAGATCAGATTAGCTCCAGCAGTTTTAGCCTTTTGGGTAGCAGACCAGTAAATGGAAATCTCTCTCCTCTTTTGGTAAATCTGCCTTTCAAACAAAAATTAATAAATCACCTTAAGTATAATTCTAATTTCTACTGTAATTTTTATAAGCTCTCAGAACACAGAACAGAAATGTATGATAAAACCACATTGTGCTCTTTTCCAGGTCTATGAAAGAAGTGGTCTTTTTTCTTTTACAAGTTTCTTTAAAAACAGAGAGACAAAGATGTTCCCTCTACCAGATCACTTCCAAAGACCTGCAATAAGCAAGATATACCAGACTGAAGCCAGGAGTTGGCAATTCCATCTGAGACTTCAGCATGAGTGGTAAGGTACCACCTAGTTGAGCCACCATCTACTGCTGCCCACGGTATACATTATCAAAAAACTGCATCAGAGACAGAGTAGCTGCACTCTAACTAAGCACTCCCATCTGGAATGCAGCTATCACTGTGACGAAAATATTGAGCTACATAATTTACTCCAAGGAATGGTCTTCCCAATGATGGTAAATTGCTTTGGTCGATAAACTAAACTCCCCCAGACTGATACTGATGAAGAGATCAGCTCTAAACAATTATTATATAGCAATGGACTCAAATGTTACCTTCAAGCAAAAATCATACTACTAAATAGCTAGACAAACACAGTTAAACACTGCAAAGATCTTGCAAGTGAATGAAATTCTCACTTTACAAATTTCCTTCCTATTGCACAAATCCAGATTCAAAGGACTGTATTTGACAAAAGGAAATGACACAAGAAAAAGCACAATAAGGCTATGACTTCCTTTCATTTATCTAGTCAACACTGCATCTGTTGTGAGTCTTCATAACTTACCATTCCCTCAAAGCCAACTCTATAGAGGTTCTTAGCACCATTATCCCAGAGAACATAGGCTGCGCTGTGTGGGCTTGATGCACTCCAGTCCTGGATTTCTGTGACCTGACAAAAGTTTTGGAAAAAAGAATTTTATTTAAAGCAGAGGAAAGAGGCCAGTCCTTGGAACAATCATGTTTACATCTTAAAAGTCATTTCACCTAAGCCTATGAAACAGATCATCAAAAAAACTCTACTTGCCAAACACAAGTTCCTTTTAACATAATCAGATTATCACTGAAGCCATTTTTACAAAATTACAAAGTAATTTCAAATCCCAACCTAAAATCTTTAAATCAAAATACTTAGGAATTACAGCAATAGGTTATCAGGAAACAATATCAATACAATATGTGAAATTCTTGCATTCTTAAAAAGTTTAAGAACTATATATTTTATAAGCGCATTGCTCAAAACACACTCCTTAACATTTGACCAAGCATTCAAAATCTGACAATAAATCTACTCTCTGAAGAGCTAAAAACATGAAGAAAGCTCTGAAAGAAAAAGGACTTGAGTTCTTTGATTCTTTCAGCAGTATCCCTTAGTTGTTCCCTAAAAAGCAGGCAATGAAGCTAAAACTGCATATGTAACACTGGAAAGACAACATGATTTGTAGGCCATTCAACTAAACAGGACGATTCTTCTTTTTAGTATTTTGAATATTTGTTTTAATTTATTAGAAAGGCAGAGTTAGAAAGTGAGGAAAAGACAGAAAGTTTCTATCTGCTAGCTGACTCCCCAAACGGACACAATGGCTGGAGCTGATGCAAGCCAGGAGTCAGGAGCTTCCTCTGCTCTCCAACACGGATAGCAGAGACCCAAGGGCTAGGCCCATCTTCCAGTGCTTTCCCAAGTGCATCAACAGGATCTGTATCAACACTGGAAAGCCAAGACAAATCAGCACCCAGGTGCAATGCCTATATCACAGGTGCCAGCTTTACTCATTATGCTGAGGCCTTCAATCACTTCACCAAGCACCAGAGGCACATATTCAAGAATACAAGCCTTGGGGCTGGTATGCCACAGTGCCACACTAATCTATCACCTGTGGCAACAGCATTCCATATGGGTGCTGGTTCAAGTTCTGGCTGTTCCAATTCTGATCCAGGTCCCTGCTCATGGCCTTGGAAAGCAAAAGAAGACAGCCAACCACACAAGAGACCTGGAAGAAGATCCTGGATCTCAACATCGGATCAGCCTAGGTCTGGCTGTGAGGGCCATTTGGGTGGGTCAATCAGCAGATAGATCTTTGTCTTTCCTTCTCTCTAGGGAAATGGACCTTTAAAAAAATGAAAATAAAATCTTAACTTTTTTTTTTAAGAAATTCCCATCTTCCAGAAGATATAGAATCAAGACAACCAGATGCACAACAATCAATGTCAAAACATAGGAGAGATGAGCAAAGATGGAAATATGTCTCCCACAAAGGAATACATGGACTATAAAGCAGGTAAGACTGATATAACACCTGAAAAAGAATTTCAGAGAGTGACTGTAGGGTACTTCAAGCACACAAAGCAAGAGCAACCACACAAATCACCCCAAAAAATCAACAAAAAACAAACAACTAATTTACACTATATACAAATAGACCTGCTGATTTACACTATACAAAAATAGACCAAAAACTACAGAAGGAACACTGTTTTCAACAGTATATAGAGCATTCTCTATAACAGACCTTAAACTAAGCCATAAACAATCTCAAGGTTGGTGATGTGATACTGCCGGTTAACATGTGAAATGCAACAGGGGCATTTCATACGGGCACACATTTAAATCCCAGACAATCCAATTCCTATCCAGTTCCCTGCTACTATGTCTCATAAAGTAGCAGAAGAAGCCCAAGTATTGGTACCAATATTGAAAACCTGGATGGAATCCTGGATCCCTGGTTTCAGACTGGCCAACCCGTGGCCATTGAAGCTGTTTTTGTTGTTGTGGATAGAAGACGTCTTTCTTTCTTCCTCTATTTCTCATTAAGTAATGCATTCAAATACAATTTTTAAATATTTAAAATAAAAACAACCATCATTAACTACAAAAACACTGATTTCATAGCATTTCTCTTTTTAAAATTTTTAACAGTTAATATTGTTTACATAGTTCAGAGGGATGCAAACCAATGTGCGCCGGTGAATAGCATGGCAAGCGTCAACCTACAGAGGAAAACATATGGGACAAATGTCTCAATTCTTTGTATACTCTGTGGGGGAAGTGGAGGGGACCACTCCTTGCTGTCAAATGACAGCACCCCGGGGATGGGGAACAGTCTTTTGATGATACCGTAGAGAGCCTGAAGTGGGGAAGAGTGCTTCTGTTCTGAGGGTATTATGTAAGTTATATTGTTACTTTGAGACACTGTCAATTTGTTGCACTAGGTTTAAGAAAATCTTCCAAAGATATATTGGCTGACCAAGTGTGCCTTACTGCATCCACAGAGCCAGATACTTGCTGCAAGGCTTGGCCAGGAGAGTTGTCCAGTCTTTTTTGTGTTCCATCCTGTGACAAAGCACTACCAATCTCTGCTGGCCTAGATGAGCTGGCTGTCAAGCCCCAGTGTGCATCTGAGCTTCTGTGGACTACATTGCTTTTTCTTTAGTTGCTTGATTTCTAATGGCATTTGGTGGTGTTCTGTCTCCAGTTTTGTGGTCTCCATCATGGAGTAGAATAGTGTATGAATTCTTTCTTGGAGGAACCTGATTGTTTCTTCATTTTTGGCTATAATGTTTTTACCTTTTAATTCTCTTGTAAGAAAAACTGAGGAAGCTCACTGCAGGCCACAGTTTTCTTTCCTTGGGAAGGTCAATTGTTGACCTCCAAAAGAGGCTCGGGCACTCTGAGGACAGAAAAAGCGCCCAAGGGTTTGCAGGTGCTGGGCCACTTCCTTTCCAAGCTTTCCAGTGTTTGTCATCTCTGTTGTGATGGATGAAGTCGGAGTTGAAGAGTTCAGACTCAATTCTGAATTTATCCCATGTTTTTAGTAAAGTATGTTGACTGGCAGTGTACTGGCTGTCATACAGCTCCCATGCCTGATAGCGTGCTTCCACATCTAGGCAAGACTTGTCATCATGTCTTCATCACATCCTTGGAGGTACTTTCTCCACAAGACTTTTAGTGGTAAAGATGCTAAACAACTATCAATGCCCTTTATTTGTCCCAGGTAGTGGGCTAGGATGGAACCTAAGCCACAGATTCCTGAGGACATACTGTGGGTTGCTTAACTGGTCTGGAGCACTCAGAGAGCTGGGTAGGCTGGGCAGCAGCACCCATCAGTTTGTATAGGATACTGGGCAGCAGACAGACTGACCAGGCAACTACAAGCACCAGTACACAGGGTGATACAGGCGATGAACTGAACCAGACCCTGTACTGGCTGGCATATGCAATAATCAGGTCTGGGGTCAATCCCAGTGAGCTTTCTTGGGGACTCCCCAACTAGACTACTAGACTCTGGCCACAGGGATAAACATGCAATTTGTGACCTGGGACCATATACATGTGTCAGGACTGGACCTCCTCTAATATAGAAGCCTGTGCAGTAGATGGATTGCCTAAATATATATGGGGGACAACCTTAGAGCAACAAAATGAACAGTGTCTTAGAACTATCAAAATCACTCAAGCAATACCCTCCAAACATTCTTCTCCATATTAGGGTTTCTGAGATGACACCAAGTAGACAACTCCCATTCCTGGGTACTTGATACAGTCTGGCAGCTGGCAGCAGTCACCTCCCCATCCCTTCTGTCCCCCTCCCCAATGTCCCACCCACACATATGAGAAAAGGTAAGAAAAAAATATTTGAAGCACTAGGCCTCATCCACCTTCCCCATGTCTTGACCTTCCAACCTTAATTATTGATCTTCACTGACATGTATCCTAGTCAACTATTATGTAAACATAATAAAATAAATTTCTTAAAACCACTAATATTAATCATTATGGAAATGCAAATCAATGCAATCTCATCAATTCAATGAAATCTCCTTTAATTCCAATTAGACTACTAACTGGACAAACAATAGCAATTTTAGAAGAAGATGTACAGGAAGGTGAATCTTTGCACACTACTGACATGAATGTAACTTAGTACAACCATTGTGGAAAACAGTATACAGATTTCTCAAAAAAACTAAAAAGGGGGCAAGCATTTGGCATAGCAGTAGAGATGCCAATGGTAACAACCACACCTCCTCCTGGAGTGCCGAGGTTTGACTTCTGGCTCCACTTCAATCCAAGCTTCTGCTAATGTGAGGCAGTCAGTGACAGCTTAGGCTCCTTGGATCCTGCCATCCATGCAAATCCAGATTGATGTCCAGACTCCTGGCTTTGCCCTGATCCAGCCCAACCATTACAGATACCTGTCTGTCTTTTTCCCTTTGTCTTTCTCTTTCGCTACCTTTTCTCCTCCCATCTATCTTTCAAGGAAAAATCCACACATGAAACCAATTTCAGCAGTTAAGTGGGCTGGATCAGAAAGGTGCTGCCTACTTTGAAAAAGACCTTAGCAGACATGAAACACAGAAAGTAAATTCAGGGTCAGGTGCCATAGCCCAGTGGCTATATCCTCTCCTTGCACTAGCTGCGATGGCATGTGGGTGCCAGTTCATGTTCATGTGGAGGCCGGTTGCTCCACTTCCCATCCAGCTCCCTGCCTGTGGCCTGAAAAAGAAGTAGAGGCCCAAACCTTTGGGACCCTGCACCCGCATGGGAGACCCGGAAGAGGCTCCTGGGCTTTGAATCGTCTCAGTTCTGGCCATTGCAGCCACTAGGGATATTATTTATCATTTAAGGAGGCCTGCTGGAATGTCCAGGAAGGCATTCTGGGTAACAACAGCAATGAACTGGATCAACCCTGAGGCAGAGGAGAAAGCCAACCAACCCTCGCAGGGAACACTAACGCCTACGAACAGGAGCAACCTTATGCTCCTGAAAAAAAGAAACAAACAAAAAAACACAGATTTAAAACTTAATGACACAGAAAAGTATGCTAAGAAACTGATTTACAGTAGCAAGAACAATCTCCTGAACACACTCATACAACATTCTAGAACACTTGAGAAATGCAGAAAAATGCGGTACCTTTCCCCTCCGCCCGTTTCCTCCATCTTGATCTTCCCACTGCCAGTCTACTCCTCGTACCACTCTGGCACCTGCAAAGATTCCTCTTGCTGTAATCTTCTTAGATTTTCTACGAGACTCTAACAAAACCCTAAAAACAAAATTGTTTTAAGCATTTATCAAAATAGGTAATGAATTTTTTTAAAACAAATCTTTATAAAAAGATTTTCTGAAAGTAGAAAAGTCTCCTTTGTTCTAGGCTAATACCAACATAGCACAATTCAGGAACACCTATTACATTCCACAGCTGAAGATAATAGTAATAACGATGATAATAACAGCTGAGCTTTTATCAAGCGTAAAAGCACTTACACTGTTGTACAGTGCATCCCACTCCTGAAGAAAAAGGTCCCTTATTATTATCTGTTTTACAAATGAGGAGACTGAGTCTACAAGGAGAGAAGCAATCAGCCAAGGTCACAAAAGTTAAAAAGAAATAAAATTACTGGGCCTGGCGCGGTGGCGCAAGTGGTTAAGGTCCTCACCTTGCACATCCGGGATCCCATATGGGTGCCAGTTCTAATCCCAGCAGCCCCACTTCCCTTCCAGCTCCCTGCCTGTGGCCCAGGAAAGCAGTCAAGGATGGCCCAAAGCTTTGGGACCCTGCACCCGCATGGGAGACCCAGAAGAGGCTCCTGGCTTCGGACCAGCATAGCACTGGCCGTTGCACTCACTTGGGGAGTGAATGATCGGACGGAAGATCTTCCTCTCTGTCTCTCCTCTCTGTATATCTGCCTTTCCAATAAAAATAAAATAAATCTTTTTTAAAAAAATGAAATTACTGTAGAAATCCAAATGAACTTCTTTATTACCACTATTCTCTCACTACTGCAGAATGTAAACCCAAATTCCTGCAGGTGCCAGTGAAGTCACATAACCAAGGGCCTAGTGCTAGGAAGACAAATGGCCAATGGCATGTGGTAAGAACAAGAGGCAATAAGAGGGATTTGGGTAATCAACACCACATTTTGTTTACAAGTAGGATCTTGACGATTTAGTCAACTCCTCCCTAGAACAATTTTAAGGCCAGGTTGAAAACTTCCGATACAAACATGTTTTGTTGTTGTTTTGTTATTGTTTCTTAAAGATTTATTTATTTTTATTAAAAAGGCAGATATACAGAGAGGAGGAGAGACAGAGAGGAAGATCTTCCATCCGATGATTCACTCCCCAAGCGGCCACAATGGTTGGTGCTGAGCCAATCCAAAGCCAGGAGCCAGGAGCTTCTTCCGGGTCTCCCACACAGGTGCAGGGTCCCAAAGCTTTGGGCCATCCTTGACTGCTTTCCCAGGCCACATGCAGGGCAGCTGGATGGGAAGTGGAGCTGCCGGTATTAGAACCGGCGCCCATATGGGATCCTGGGTGTGCAAGGTGAGGACCATAACAACTACGATATCACACTGGGCCCACAAAAGTGTTTTTAAAATACATCATCTTGGGCCCAGTACAGTAGCCTAGTGGCTAAAGTCCTCCCCTCGCCTCGCACACATATGGGCATCAGTTCTAATCCCAGCAGCCCCGCTTCCCATCAGGCTTCCTGCTTGTGGCCTGGGAAAGCAGGCGAGGACGGCCCAAAGCCTTGGGATCCTGCACCCGCATGGGAGACCTGGAGGAGGTTCCTGGCTCCTAGCTTCAGACTGGCTCAGCTCCAACCGTAGCGGTCACTTGGGGAATAAATCAGTGGAAGGAGGATCTTCCTCTCTGTCTCTCCTCCTCTCTGTATATCTGACTTTACAATAAAAATATATAAAATCTTTTTTAAAATACATAATCTTTTATACTTGTGTAATATTGCCTAATTTTTAAAGGGTTAAAAAAGGGGAGGTGAGGGTTTAGTGCTTATTCAAAAACTCAAATTACCATATATACCAAAAAACCCACGAAACTGACCAAGATTGCAGGATATCCAAAGCACCACATCCATACAGGAAATTACAGAGCTTGAAAAGATTCAGCTATTTCAGACAGCTCTATTCTCTCCAAAGTCATGAATCTAATCTGTGTAAAGGCAAGCAAGGAACCTCCTTTCTACCAAGGGTCATTTTCATTTTCACACTATTACATCACACACAGGACATACAAAATTATCAACTTCAAATTAGCCTGCTATTGATTTGTTAAATTTCAAGTCCTACCTGTGGTTACTCTGGCAAGGCCAGACCAAATGATTTTAGAGTCCTGATCAAGCCCACAGCCCATGTTGTGTGCCTTCCTCATTTATACACTCAGAATGAACCTGGGGGCAGGGGTCATGGGTATGTGGCACAGTGAAGTTCCCACTTGCAGCACCCAACACCTGTATCAGAGTGCTTGCAGTCTGCCCTGACCCTGTTAATGTGCACCTTTGGAGTACATGGGACCATGCCGCCTGCAGGAGACCCACATGGTGTGTTACTCAGTTCCTGGCTTCAGTGCACATTTGAGCAGACTGTAAATCTCTGTTTTGTAAACAAAAAAAATTTTTTTTTTTTAAAAAAAAAAGGACATAAAGGATTGGTTTTTTGTTTCTCTTTTAAACGTTATCTCATGGTTTTATTCATTTTTAAACTGCCTTTACTATTCTTTATGCTCATAAGTAACTTGAGCAGACACACGCTGTGGCACAGAGGCTTACACCGCCTGTATCAGGGCACCTCTACCCACACAGGAACACCAGGATGAGTGCCACCTGGACTGCTTCTGACCCAGCCTCCTGCTAACATTCAAGGAGGCAGCATGTGACGCCTCAAGAACCTGGGCCACCTCCGTCCACATGAGAAATCCAACTGAGTTCCAGGCTCCTGATTTTAACCTGGCCCAGCCCTAGCTGTCATGAGCCAGTGGATGGAAGATTTCTCTCTCCCTCTCCCTCCTCCATCATCACTGTCTTTACACAAATTATAACAAACATTTCAAAGAAGTAACTTACTAACATTACTCAGTTGAAGAAATGGCAAGAATATCATCTGCAATGAACAACCTAACTCCAAACTCTGTGCTTCTACTCCTAGCTATCTCCCTATCACTGGATGCATTCTTTCATCCATGTATATCCACAGGACAGGATTCCATCCCCTCAAGCCCCAAATCTCTTCAACAATACTTTCTCCAGGGGCTCTAGGACATTTAATATTTATCGCTACCATAGCACAAAACATCACATGAAAATCACCACTGACTCATTATTTGTTTTTACTTGTAGATTTCTAAAGAATACTGCACATGGGGGTCAGAGCAGAAGCATACAAGGTAATCCTCCACCTGTAGTTCCAAATGAGCACTAGGTTCAAGTTCTGGCTGCTTCACTTCCAATCCAGCTCCCTATTTATGGCCTGGAAAAGCAACAGAGGCTGCCCCAGGGCCTCAGGACCCTGTGCCCACAAGGGAGACCAGGAAAAATCTCCTAACTCCTGGCATTGGATCGGCTCAGTTCTAGCCACTGTGGCCATTAGGGGAGTGAACCAGAAGATGGAAGTTCACTCGTTCTCTCATCTTCACTCACTGTAATTCTGCCATCCCAATAAAAATTATAAATAAATCTGTTAAAAAAAATACTGCATGCCTAGCTTCAAATCTCTGCAAACACAGCAGCTGTCAGCTCTGCTAAATCCATTAATAACCTCTGGTGTTCACCCAATAGCCATGGACAGAACAGAAAGCACAGGAAGAAGTCAAGCAGCCTCTCCCAGGCTCTCCTGACATTTCCCCATGTTCAGCAACTTCAACTATGCATGCTGCCCACAGGAACTCAGAAAACACACGCAGTTCCTCTTCACAGAGCTGCTCTTTTCTCACTGCACCAGAGGCGCAGGCTGTTTCAAGCCGACCTTCAGCTACCTCCTAGTACTAAACAAGTTGTCAGAAGTTACTTCCTGAGCCAATCTTTGCAGCTAAACCCTCTAAAACAAGCACAAACACAGAAGAGACAATTGCTTCACCTACCGCTCACTTCCTGGTGTGGTAATTCGATAAAAGCGATGCCTTAAATGATGTTTATCTCCATGATAACAAACTGTGCACAAATCATAATTTGTACATTCTGCACATTTCCATCTAATGCCAATGATTGGTTGCTGGCGGCAGGTATCACACATGGTTCCATCATGCTTGATGCCTATTAAAATAAAAATGTGTGCAGACATTAATACACAAATATTTACACGAATATTTACACAAATAATTACAAATATTATCCATTTGAACATTACTTTGGGGGTAGGGGTGGGAAAGAATGTCTTGAAAAATATTTTAATAAACAGGGAGAAAACATTTAAAATATCACGTAAGATTTCAAGAGAACAGATAGAAAACATTTTAATTAAACTACAAAATAAAACTCTAACTGCCCTTCCTTTTTCATGAGGAGGAATATACTTCAGTAGTAGTCTACTTGCTCTCACCCCCAAATCAAAACTTAAGTCAACACACAGAAAGACGACTCCTTGATCACCACACAGATGAGGGAGACTGCAAACCCTCAGGAATCCTGAAAGAAGGTCAACATATTCTCCTGCTGAACAACTACTCCCACAGAAAAGTCAATTTTATCCTCATGATGTCAGGAAACATGATTTAAGCATTTGCCCTAAGATATTGCAACTTTCATAAACAAACTTCAGAAAATAATTAACAAGCAATTTCCTCAGAAGACAATAGTAAATCATAATGGAGATTCTCTCCCTTACTAAAGAAAATAAAAATAAGAAAAAAATAAGCACTTAGTAAAACAACATCCATGGAAAAAGGTTTACACAAATGGGTAAGAAAGATGTTAGAATTATAAAAATACCACTATAAAGTATACTTCTCTCTCTCTTCTTTCTAGGGTAATAGGAACAAGGGTGACGCTCCTTCACTATACTATGACATGAAGGTAACTTGCTTCATATATCAAAACCAGCATTTTTTCTTTAATTTCTTTTTATTATTATTATCATCATTTTATGATACAGCTCCATAGGTCCTGGGATTTCCCTTATCCCCTCCCTAATCCTCTCCCCCCTCACTGAGTTCCCCTACATTATTACTATAGTATAGTTCTTCATACACAGTCATAGGTCCATCATTGCGGCCATGGACAATGACAAGGAGTCCAGCATTCTATTGTCAAGATATAGTAAACAGTTTCATTGGGAGTCCATCTTTGGAAGTAGAGATGCATAGTGCACTGTATCCTCACATCCGGATACGACAGTCTCCACTACAGTTACTATGTCCCCTAAATGAAAAGCCACAAAACAAGATCAACAACAGGAAGAAAAAAGAAAGTAAAACCATCATGATGTTAAATAACATGCTAGATCAATGACTAATCTGTCACCCAAGAAATGAAAAAGAAAATTAAAAACCTTCTTGAAGAAAATGATGCTAATGGAGGATCTATGAATCACTGAAGAATTGAATGAGGAAGAAAGTGTTAGGCAGAGATGAAACTAAAACAAAAAAATCATAAATATCTATGATATAGAGTCCACTGATCTTTGTTGGTGAATGTGTCTCCTGAGGGAACAAACAGACAGGATTTGTTTTTTCTAATCCAGTCTACTAATCTATGATGTTTGATTGATGAGTTTACATTCAGGGTTAACAGCTCTGGCTGTTGTGCCCACATTAGAGGTGAACTAGTGCATAAAAGATCTTTCTCTGCCCCCCACCCCTGCATGCCTGTGTGTGTGTGTCTCCTTACTGTATCTGTGTCTGAGACAAAAATAAATAAATGTTTAAAAAAAAAAAAGGCTTGTTTTCACTTAAGTATTGAGACACAAAAGCAAGGGCCCTTTCCATTCTTAACAACTTCAAGTCCACTTTGGAAAACGCAATGTGTTCTTTAAGGTTAAGAAAAACATCCTAAAAATCAAGTATAAATGTGCAATATAAGCAAAAACTAGGGTAAAAGGGTAGAGAAAATATAAAATTCTTTTTAAAAATCATTTATTTCAAAGGCATAGTTACACAGAGAAGGAAAGACAAAGTAGTCTTCCATGTACCAGTTCACCCTCTAGGCCCAAGAACGCGGACGGTCCTCCGCTGCTTTTGCAGCACAACAGCAGGGATCTGGATGGGAACCAGAGCAGACAGGACTCAATCTGGTGTCCGTATGAGATACTCGCATTACAAGTAGTAACATAAACTACTAAGTTACAACACCAGCCAAATTCACAAACATTTTTTAAACTTTTTATATTTTTTTATATTGTTTACATAGTTGGAAATGATGCATGGGCATGTAGAACTCTGATTAGGAAATGGAGAGGGTCAGGTACAAAGGAAGGTGGGAGGGACTAACACTTCAGTATTCTTTCTTCTCCTGTGTCCAGAGCACGGCGGGGGGGGGGGGGGGGCACTCCTTGCTGTCAAACCACATCAGAACCCAAGGATAGGGGACAGTCACTTGATGATGCCAAGAGACCCCGATGTGGAGAAGTGCTCTGAGTGATTCTGGAGTGATTCTGATACTTCTGAGACATCATCAGAATCATTGCATCAGGGCTGAGTAAATCTTTCCAAGGTCTATTGGTAGACAAAGTCCATCTCAGTGCATCCACACACCCAGGAACATGCTACAAAGCTTGGCCAGGAAAACTGTCTAACCTGTTCTGCTTTCCATCCTCTAATGAGGCAGTGGACATTCACTCCTGGCCTAGATGAGCTGGTTGCCATGTCCCCCATGTGCATCTGCACATGCTGTCCTCAACACTGAGGACAGGCATCAGCAACCGAGAAGATCAACAGAAAGAAATACAAATACAAATACTCCAAGGTCAGACAACGTGATTTCCCCTGTGCCTACAGCCTGAATCCAGCAGTCCAGTTGCAGCTCCCCAAGTAACCCTGCCTGGGGCAACCTCAGACTTGACTTGTATGCACCAGCCAGTGCAAAATCAAGTATGGTCTGTCACCTGCACCAACCAATGCACACACTAGTAGATTCAACCACCTGATCACACAGAAGTGGGCACCAGAGCCTAGTCAGGGTAACCTCCAATAACACACTTCAGGTCGAACACCAGTGCCAGCTTTTGTGCATGCCAATCTCTGCTGCAGCCTAGCCTGGCTAGACCAGTATCTCATCAGACTCTTCGTGCACACCCATGAATAGTGGCATAACTCAGCCTGACAGCCCCCAGACCCAGCCCTCACATATGCTAACAGATACCACTACCTTACCCAGCCTATCCCATCCCTCATTCTTGTGCTTACTAGTTAAAGGAACCGTCTAGCAAGGGAGTGCCCACAGCTCCCCTGTCAGGCATGTTTCCAGCCCAAAACTTGTGCCTGCCAGGGTATATGGCAGTTCAGCCTGACATGACTTGTAACCAGTCCCAGCACTTGACAGCTAGTACTGTGTGCCAGCCCACCTGGCCTGCACCCAGTCTGGTTCTCACACACACCACTGGGTGTGGTGGCCCATCCAAGCCTTGCCCAACTCATACCAATACATAACCAGTCCCAGTTCTTACACATACCAGTGGAAGCAGCAGCCCTCAAGGGTGTCCCTGAAAATCCTCTATAAGCCCCACTTTCCAGCACTGGGTCTTGCCAGTGCCAGAAAATACTGTGGCCCAGTCTGAGAATGCCTGCAACTAGTCTCAGTATTTGCCAGCATTTGTTACAGCCTGGTTCAACCCAACTCACCCGAGGCCCAGCTCCCACCAAACAGCCTAGCCCAGCATGGCCCACCCCATCCTCAGGCAAAATGTTGGGTATTGCAATCCAACCCAGCCTATCCTGTACCTTGTCTTGGCTTACATTCATGCCAGTATGTGCTGTAGACTGACCCTGTGCAAACTGCTCTCAGACAAAGCTCACACACATGCCAACAGGTATTGAAACCTAGCCTGGTGTAGCCTACTTCCAGCCCCGGCTCTCATACTCACCATCGGGAGCTACAGCCTAACAGCAAAGTTCCCTACCAGTCTTGCTCCCAGTAACAAGTTTTGTCTTGCTAGCAAGGGCTGCTGGCCAGACTGACAGCAGTCTCGGCATTTACAGGTGGGTACTATGTCCAGCTGGAATAACAAACAACTATTCCACCTCTCGAACTCCGCTGCAGGTACAGAAACCTAGCTCACCTTATTCCATACCCAAGCTTGCTCCCACAATCACTGGAAAGTGCTGGAGCCTACCCAGTATGGCTGGTCCCCAAACCCACCACACTTACATGCCCCCAACTATGTCAGCTTTACCCAGTCCAGTCCACAGTACCACCCCTGGCACTTACCAGGGTTAGCTGCAACCCAGTAGATGAGGCTACATATCACACCTGTCCTACCGTCATTCTTGGGCTTCCTGATGGGTGCTTTGACCTAATCCTGCATAGCCCATCACAGTCTCAGCTCTGTCAGGTACTGCCACCTAGTCCAAGTGAGGGGAGCCCACAGCCACGTAGGAGATCTGTCATGGGCTAAGTGGTATTGCCCATGGCCCAGTGGGGATCCACCAAACCAGGTTGGGCTACAGTGTATGTGAGAATGCAAGAGAACCAATTCCTGGGGCAGATTCCAGGAGATTTATAGGCCAGCAAGTATCTGTGGGAATACAATACCTGCTGCTTTTCAAGAGAGCTGGGGGTAGGAATCGGCCAATCCAAGCTAGACCAAAGAACTCCCATGGCAGAACTCCCCAAACTTCCAAGACTCAGGTCTGGGAGGAGGTGAGGCTAGGCCAGGATACAACATTCGCCAGCACATGCAAAGGACCAGAACGAGGGTATATCATGCCAAGCAGGGCGGCAGAGTACCCTTGGCATCCATGAGATCCAGGTTAAGAGCAGGCCTGGTGGTGGAACATGGGAACTGCCCTGCTAGGTGAAGAAAGGTCCTACTGTGCAGCATGAGAACTGGGACTGGGTGAGGAAGGCCATGCCAGGCCAGGCTGCAGCAGCCACTGGATTGGTGTGGGCCAGATATTGAGACAGGATGGCCAGACCATGCTGCAACACCCATAGACATGCATAGAAGCCAGGTTGGGGTACTGGTTGCACCATGCTATACCACCCCATGTGGAGCTAAACTCTGCTGCTACACCCTCCGGCAAGAGCTGGGACTGGAAGTGGGCCGTGACAGGCTGGGTTGAAGCACCCACCAGTATCCCCAAGACTGGGGCTCAGAGCAG